TGACAGAACTGCTATGGCCCTCGAGCGTCTGCAGACAAGCACTCCAGCCGTCGCTCATTGCTGGCTTAATAGTGATTCGTCTTGGCTCTTCGTGCTGGAACAATATTCTAGTCACGCTCCCTGTCGGACTGAATAGCAGCGCAGATGCATATGTTTGTAGAGGGTAGCTCTCAATTACCCCTTTGTGGTACATGATGAATCGGCCGGCATCTTGAGCAAGCTTAGTAAGCTCACTCGCATCCTGTATATTCTGGAAGAGTCAGCATGTATAGTGAGAGGACTATACAATTGTATCATCTTTGTGTGCCGTACCTGAGCGAGAGAGCATAGCTTCGCCATCGAAATCACCCCCTTTCCTATGCTTCTGCACAGACTGAGCCCTTCTAGCCAGTAGAGATACTTCGTCCTCAAAAACTCATCAATGACATCTGTGACTTTCAGGTCACCAACACTATATGCCCAAGACTTAGGCTTCGAGTCGTACAGATGATCAATCCAGTAAACGCACGAGTAGCGTGAGGCTGCAAGCGGGTCATGCTCAGGCACTTGAACATCATCGATGGGGGTTCCCAGCCCGCCCAGTGTGTACATGTCCCTGTGCAACGTTCTGGACAGAACAGCGAGCGACCTCGAGAAGATCGTCCGATGAGCGGCTGCGGTCCCGTCTGCAAAAACATCAGATGCTTCTGCGAGGAATTCTTGTGCAGACTGATGCACAAAGTAGACAGTGTCTTCTCGTAGAGTGAGGAACGAACCACAGAGGCTGATGATCTCCCGCACCGACTCCAAGTCACCGGCAAAGTCCTCAAGTGGCTCCACGAGCGCAATCAATTCGGAGAGCGCAACTGGCCGATGCAAGACCGTAGTAGACGCCAGAATCTGCTGACAGATCTCAGCACTATCGGACTCGCTGATCTGCTGCATCATCCGCTTGTACAAAGAATCTAGTCCGGGCGGGAACAGCGCTAGCTTTTTCAGCACGTTCCACTTTGATGTCGTTTGGAGGTCTTGGCACACCAACGCTACCCAGAGGAAGGTACCGTTGGCATTTGACATCAGGTGTTGGAGCACGGCAGATCGAACTTCTGGTTTGTACTGCTTTTTCCGTGACAGCCGATCCACCTTTTGCTGGATGAAGATGTCAACCGCTGCCGCAACCGACTTGGCGTTTAGCTCAAGGCTCAGTCTCACTTTCTGTCCTGCCTGCTCTAGCTGCGCTTCAATATCTGGCCAGTTGCGACTAGACACGATCCACTTGACGCGGGAGGACGATGAAGATTGCCTTGCGATAAAGTCAAGCAGTTTTACCAAGTCAGTGACGCACTCATCTAATGCATCGATGATTAGATAGGTGGTGCTCAGTCCTGAATCTCGTTGCACGTCCACAAAGATCTCTGTCAACGCTACCCAGGCATTCGCATCCTCGAACAAGGCTTTCCCTGCGTCATCATGCTTCTTGCGGATGTGTGATACAAGTGAGGGTTGCTGCTTTACCATCATGTATAATAGCCCTCGCAGCACAGCCGTGGCGCTGTTGATGCGCGAGTCGGTCGCCTGGCAGAAGAAGTACGCCAAAGAGGCGGTTCGAGGCAGCGAACGATGCAGCTCGTCAATAATGCCGCAGAGCAGCATTGTCTTGCCCTTTCCAGGATCACCTTTCACCCACAGCAGTTGGCTGTGCGAATCCCGGTGCCATTGCTGGAAGATGGTGTTGTTGAGTACCCAGCGGTAGGAGTCAGCTAGCAGTCCGCCTTTGGTCTCCTCAATGCGCTTCTTGTCGTCACGCGGGTCCGTGTAGCGTACGTCTCGAATGCATCTTTCTAGCTTGTGAATCTCATCCATTAGGCGTCTGAAAGCACCAGCTGCACCTTCGCCATACACCGGCGCTATATCGACGCTGAAGATACCTTGCAGCGAGTACGCTCCGTCTTCTTCACGTTTGGTTTTCCGGCCGTCTTTCCACCGCAATCGCTCGTTGACGCTGAACTGAGAAAGAGGGGCTCCGTCAAGCGCTTCAGGTGAGATATTGGTGATTTCACGAGTCAACAACTTTAGCGATGTCTTATCACCAAGCTTCACCCATTCTTGGGAGAAGAACTCGACAGTGCTTGGGGCAAGAAGCTCTTGAAGCGTCCAGCCACGCGTGAACCATCGGCTTGCTCTGAAAGAAGGCTCCCAAGTGAATTTGTCGAGCATGCGGTCCCGTTTTCCCTTCCCTGTTGATACATCCGACAGATACACATAACATCTCGCTGCATTCTGGTACCAGCGGAACATGGACTGGATGGCGTGAGAGGACTCAGCCTTGTCTGCCTTGTTGATGCAGCATGTGTCGACCCAGAAGTACCGTAAGCGATCTTGTTGTGCTTGTTGTCCGCAGAAGTGGATCTTCTTGTAGCCACGCTTGGCCTTGCCATCGCCTGTCTCAAGGTCGGCGAAGGTTACCTCCTCCGGATCCGCTCCCCATGTGTGTGACAGTATCGCATAAGGCGGTGTTGCGCGATCGTCAAAGCTGACGATCCTGAGCTCACCATGTTCGTCATAGTGCAAAAGACGCATCGGTTCGAGTGGATGTGTGACAGGCGGCATGCGGCGAGGAGACGTGAGAGTCTCGACGTGGCAGCCTGGCAGGACGAGAGCGCGGCGGCTGGCTCTCTAAGGAGAGCTCACGGAGAAGGGTACGAATGGTTACAAAGCCCCAGGTAGCTACACGGTTGAAACAGCGGTGTTAGTGTTGCAGGCTGAAGCTGGTGTTTGCACCATGTTCTGAGCTCTGTGAGGATGCTCAAACGGTCTGGAGCGGGGGCGGACGCGGCTGATTGCGCTCATGCAGGCCCAGCACAGCCCCGACGAGTGGCATCTTCGCGTTGACTACGCTCCTATCGCGATGCACTTCTCATCATTTAGCATCTACTGACTCAACTCATCTTGTTTGTTACAGTCGCGAGGTGGCCGGCCACAGATGGCGGTGAGCGCGTTAAGACGTTTCTGGGCAGCGCAGCTCAGCGCTGGGATCAAGGCCACGACGGCGCAGCAACGAGGGCAATGAGGGCAAGGGATCACTTGGCAACATGGACGGAAAGCCGCCAGCCTGCGCCACAGCTCGTCTCAGCGGCCGATCCGTGGTGGGTATAGCGTCTGATTCAGTGCCAGATCTTACAGCAGCATCTCCGCACGCTAATGCAGCCCACCACATGGCAGACAAAGCTAGCGCGCCCCAACTCGCTAGGTTGCAATTTGCCATCTTCTCTCCTAATTGGCGAAATTGCTAGACTAAGTTAATCCTCACAGAGATCTCCTAGGCCATAAACAGACAGGGGGGCACTAACAAAGGGTTAATTAACAGCGTTAAAAGCGATTAATAGCAGAGTTAGCACAGCAGCACTTGTTCCTAATAGAGGCAAAGAGACTAGTGAAGAGTTAACTAAAGAATGCTGCATATCAATCTGAGGTTTGTAAAATGAGTGGACAAGAAGAGGCTCTGGAGGCCCAGAGTGCGAACTTGTCTCGTTACACCGTGCGTCCCGGCACGTAGGGACGGACCTTACACTGTAACTGTAGATCTTGTGGCAACCTGGATGGACTGTGGTAATACACTCACGATCATGGCTGCGTGGTTGGAGCACTCCATTGAGGACGCGGTGTAGGGCTGGTCCTTGAAGATGGGGGGAAGTGGTATACTGTGTGGGGCGTGAGGCGCATGGCGAGCGAGAGGAGGGCGGTGTGGGTGGTTAGGGCGTAGAGGGCGGGAATGAGGGGTGTGGGGTTGTTTGGGGCGTGGAGGGTGAGGAGGGGCATGAGGTGTGTGAGTAGCGCGGCGACGGTGTGGGTCACGTGTGCGTTGAAGTTGGGCGGGAGGTGGAGGGGTGGGGAATTGTGCTTTGTTGGGGCGAGGAGGCTGCGGATCTTGGTTGCGTGGAGGGTGTTGCGGGTGAATCCTGCACTGTTAAGCGGGTTCTAGTCGTCGGGTGTGGGTGGACTTACCATCGTTGTTTCTGTGCTCGTATTGTATAGCAGCAACCTCCTTGATCTGCTCGCTCGTGCCGCCGAAGAAGATGTGCTGGAAGACCTGCTCGACCATGGTATTGCCGGTGATGGCACAGACAAGGGCCTGGCGCTTACTGCTGTCGATGAAGAGATCCTCCCAGCCGCTGGCACCTCCAGGGCCACTCGATACAACGCAGCCGATGATCTTGATGGTCTCCTTCGGCATGCTCTGGAACGCAGCTTGCAAGCGCGTCTTGTCCTTGAGCTCGAAGCTGAAGTGCGCTTTGGCAAAGGCCTCGATCTGGGCCATCATCTGCCACACTCCATCGCGGACCTCGACGTCGCGGCAGGCGTACTCTGGCTCTTGCAGATCCTTGAGCAGCGCGGCACTGCTGTCGTGGTTCTCTTCCAGGATTTCTCTCGCTCGTGTGTTCGGCTTGTCTGACCATTGCGCCCGGGACATGGGGGTGGCGGTTTTGTAGGCAGAGTCGTTGCGTTTTGGCAGAGGCTTCGGCTTTGCAATGTCTGCAGTTTGCTCAAAAGTGACGTGTCGTGCCACGGGACGTTTCTTGGGGTTTCTAGAGGCTGCTTGCTTCTTCCGAGGGACAGTCTCGATTCGGTCCTGTTATTGCTGCTCCCGCTCGTCCTGGATGCCCTGCTCGATCGCTGTTCCTGTCATGGCCATCTGTGCCCTCTGCCTAGCCTCGTTGGCGCTCTGCAGAAGGGAGTCATCGCCGGCAAAGTGACTGTCCGTGTATTCCTCATCCGAATCGTTGCCTTCGCAGCATTCGACTTTACGCTTGCCGAGCGAAGGATGGGGCGAGGCGTTGAAGAAGCGGCCGATCATGCGGGCGCTGTTCCTGATCGACTCCATGGCGGTAGACTTTGTTGATGTCAAGTTTGGACAGTGAAGAGACGGGCAATCTCGAAAAGGGACTGGACTGATTTCGAAGAGGCAGGCAAAGAGGACTCAAATACAAGCCGGCGGCAGAGCATGGGAATAGTCCTTTGTCTCTTGTCACTCACGGTACATGGTGGCTTCATCTTTGTTTTGCATCACCGTGGGCGGCGGGGCGAAGAAACATATCCGGAAGGGGCGAGTTGCCTGCGAACAATGGCGCTGAGATAGTGCGAGACTCTTGGCAAATCAACAATGGCGACGTCTAGATAAGAAGCAGAAAGGAATGTGTGGCTAGGGTCTGTATCGCAGCCATCAACTTTGGTGGTAGAGGTCGTGTCTTTGAGTGCTTTGAAGTATCCCTTGCTACACTGGCGATGGTAAGACTGCCACAACACATCCACATTCGTCACATGTAGCGAGTCGACCGTCGTGTCGACTGAAGCCGCAGCGTTGTGTGAAGAGACAGAACTCAGGACAGGCTGCCTCGCAGTGATGCGCGAGTCATGTCAAACCGCCGCCATGTCGTCAGCCCTCTGCGCTCGACCTCGGAGCTACCGGTATGAAGCCCTCCAAGATAGTCACAATGTCAATGTCAATGTCGACTGCCCCGTCTGCTCTTCCAGGACTCGTGATCAACGTCTGAGTGAGGCGCGTTCACATTCATATGCAGAGTCACAACATGCTCCACCTTCCCGACGAGCTCATCCTCCAGATCATCGCGTGTATGTACGCTCTCCTGATCGACAGCTTCCCCACGCCTCAAGGTGCTCATGCCCTCCAGTCCTCGAGCCGTCCGAGCTCGTCAACGTGTCACACGTGTCGCGGCAATTCCTCAACCTCAGCCGCGACAACAGGCTCTGGAAGCAGCTATGCTTCTCGCACTCGTACACGGAGCGGCGCCGGCGTCGGCTCGAGACGACCTTGACGTCCCCGCCAGCTGAGGCCGATCCGCGCCTGGCCGAGCTCATCGAAGCCGCCAACAGTCTCGCCGACTCGTTTGACGTGAGCGTGCACAACCCACGAGCGCCAAGCGCCGAGGCGCAGCTGAGCCAGAACCGGGAGAAGAGGCGGGCCGCGCTGCTGAACAACTGGGACCCTAGTGGGCTGGAAGAGAAGGTGAACTGGTACCAGGAATTTGTTCAGCGCCATGCGCCGCCGCAGCTGAGCTGGTTCCAGGGCGCAGGGCACGACGGGGAGGACGGGGTGCAGCGCGAAGCAACGGGCGCAGGCATCCTCTATGACGCCGACGGGCTCGCCTCGAAGCTCATTGCGCCGCTGGACGACGGGAGCATCAGGATCTGGGACGCGGGCGCCCACAGCAGCCGCATCGGGACATGCACGGCGACGAGCGATGCAGGCGTCCTGACCGACAAAGGCCCCGATCTGGACTGCGCCACGCGTCTGTCGCAGAGCCGGGCCATGATGACCGACACGGGCGCCGTCGAGTGCGTCAGCATCGACAGCGCGAGACGGCGCGGCTTCTTCGCTGTGCAGGAAACGCTCAGCGAAGTCGACCTCACCACGCTCCAGGTCGTCTCGCGCACACGATACCCCTTCCCCGTCACGGCGCTCAGCGAAGCCCACCACAGCACGCCCCTGACTGTCGGCACCAACTGGACGCTGCACCTGCACGATACGCGCACCGCCACGCCGCCTGCGCGTGTCGACCTGCTCAGCACATGGCCGTCGACGTCCTTCTCGCGCCTCGCTACGGGCGACTCCGGCGGCCACGTCGCCCTCGCGCAGCCGGGCGCCCTGTCCATCGCCCACGCGCCGCCGCACCTCGGCGACGGGAACGGCGACATGTGGATCGGCGGCCGCTTCACGTCGCTGCTGAACTTCGACCGCCGCTTCTTCCCCCGCCTGCGCGGCACCGTGCACTCGGGCGCGCGAACCAGCAGCCTCACCCTGCTACCCGTCCCTTTTGTCCCGCAGTCTCTCCGCCTCGGGGCCCCCTACTCGTCGCCCTCGCTGCTCCGTGCCGCGCGCTCCACCGGCGGCGTCACGCTGCTCGCCGCCGGCGCGTACAAGGGCAAGGGCAGCCTGGAGCTGTACTCGCTCTCGCCGGCGCCCGAGTACGCGACCAACAGCGCCGACAGCCGCACGACGCAGAACCCGCGCGCGAGCTACCAGAACCGCCAGACGGCGAGCGCGACGCGGCTGCTCGCCGCCGCGGGCCATGGGACGCGCATCGTCTTCAGCGACGCCGACGGGAACCTCAAGTGGGTTGAGCGCGATGCGAGCACGCCCGTGCGCCAGTTCAACATCAACGATGTCCGGGGAGAGAGGGGGACGGCGACGGCGACAGCGACAGCGACAGCGACAGCGACGGCCACCGGGGTAGACGCCGCCGCGGACCAAGAGGGCGACATCGTCCAGCGCATCCTGCCCACGACCTCGCCGTCGCTGCTTGCGCCTGCTTCCAACCCCGCTCCACCAGATGCGGGCACGCAGGACCTGCTCCTCTGGACCGGCGACGGGAGACTGGGCATGCTGGCCTTTGGCCGCGAGCACGTCTTCGACGCGGATACCTTCCACGACGCCCTGGAGCGGCAGGTCGACGACGAGCATGCCGATACCGCAACGCTGGAGGAAGAGTATGGGCTGGAGATGCGGAGGGCGCTCGAGCAGCAGGCGAGGGAACTTCGGTGGTTGAGCGGCTATGGCTTGTAGATGGCCATCTCATCGCTCCATTTAAAAATTAGAAGAAGCGCAGCCTGGGCAGCAGATATTTTCGTCATCATTCCATTCATCTTCTACAAACCAAGCACAAAAGCAACCTGATGCTATTCCATCCAACATAAAACATCCTCGAACGCCAAATACCATCGTATCCATGCCTCCGCGCCCCCGTGATCTGTCTAGATCGGGTATCAAAAGCGGAAAATATACCGACTCACAAATGCAAACGCCATCCGCGGAAAAAGCAAGCGCTGGTAATCGCCCAGCGGCGCGTTTCGTTGCGACACTCATGTCTGGGTCCATGCAGAAAACATCGTTTCAATGACTCGACATGTGAGCAGCAACCTTGTAAAAGCAGCAACCTTGTAAAAGCGGCGCCACAAGCTCACGAGTACATGAGACCCACTATCAGCGCCCCATGCCGAAAAGATACCTGAGTTCGCGCACGTTGAGGCGAGTAAGGCTCTTGCTGCTCCGCTCGTCCAGAGCTGTATCAATCATCTCGCGCTTGCGGTCTTGAATCTCACAGATGCGATCCTCCACAGTCTCGGGGACGAGGACGCGGTGGACGGTCACCTCTCGGTCCTGAGGCATGCGGTGCGCACGATCGATAGCCTGCTCTTCGACGTACGGGTTCCAGAAAGGATCCAGAAGGATCACCTGCGAGGCCTTGGCTAGGTTGAGACCAGCGTTACCTGCCTTGAGCGACAAGAGCATGATTCTCTGGTCAGGACTGTCCATGAACTTCTCAACAGCATCGGCTCGGTCGCTCATCGACATGGACCCATCGTAACGTTGGTACCTGAGCTTTCGCTCATACATCGGCACTTCGACCAAGTCGAGGAGTGAAGTGAATTGGCTGAAGATGAGAATCTTCTCGGTAGGATCCCTCGCGGCGATGTCGCTGACAAGCTCCATGGTCTTCTCGATCTTGGCAGACGTGATCCACGTCTTGCGCAGGCGACGCAGATACTTCTGCTTGGCGGCCTTGCTACGAAGAGACTCCTTCTTGAGCTGCGCAAGCGTGACCTTGGGATTAGCTTTGGCTTTGCCCTTTCCCTTGGCGCGCCTCTTCTTACTCTTAGACTTCGCAGAGGGGCGAGGCTGAGGAGCTCCGTCATTACTGGCAGGGCCCTCGGCTTCATCATCAGACCCCTCTTCGTTATCGACAACGAAGTCTGCCAGGTTACCATTTGCATCAACGTCATCATCCACTTCTTCATCTTCATCCTCTTCATCCTCGTCTCCAGAGTCGGAATCGTCGTCGAAAAGCTCCTCCGAGGCAGCTCGGTCAGCCTCGGAAAGCTTCTCGGGCGCGTGCACCTTGCAGAAATGCTTGAAATCGGTGATCATGGCCGCCTTTAGCTCTCCACGACAATGAGGGCATTTCGCTGTACCGGCGTTCTCGCGGCCATCCCTGATGCCGCGAGTTGGGTCAACGAGCTTCTGGACACACTCTCCGCAAACCGTGTGACCGCATGGCATGATGATGGTCGGGTTGAGGTCCGCGTCGAAGCAAACAGGGCACTCGAAGTCCTCCGCGTTCCTCAGACGGTATACAACATCTGGGTGCAGGTCTTGGGCCCGGCTCAACAAGTCGTCCTCTGCAATGTTCTCGGTAGCTGGTTGACTGAGATCTTTAATTAGGTGTGGGTGACAGCAAGCTTGGCGGAGGCGCAAGAGAAGCACGAGGATGTTCGCATAGTTGGCTGCACAAAATCGTCAGATCCCGAGAATCGGTGTCGTAGAAGTAGTTGGGCACACTCACCAGATATCGTGTCCTTCTCGATGTACTTGTTGAGTGTGATCTGGGCCTTGCTCTCAAGGGCCTTGTACACTATCATTTCGTCGTCGGAGAACTCCACAGCTTCTTTAGAAAGATGCTTGGGCGGCAGGTTACACACGATCTGGCCGTCAACAAGTGAGTCCTTTTGACGTCGAAGCATCAACGACTTCAGTAAGACCTGCACGCGCTGCATAGCAGACTTCCTGGTCTCGGCATGATTGGCTCGTAGAGGCTTTCCAAAATCCTGGTTGAATCTCGACCAGTCGTGGCTAAACCTTGTTAGCAGTGCATTCGCGGTGGTGGAAGCAAAGTTCTTACTATGGCGGAATACCAAGGAAGCGGATCAGCGGGTAGAGCTCGTCGATCGTGTTCATCATGGGCGTTCCTGTCATGACAAGACGGTGCACAGCCATGAGATCGTGAGCAGCCTTTGAGCCGACTGTCTGCCTATTCTTGATGCATTGTGCTTCGTCGAGGATGACGCGGTACCTGTGGGTGTCAGCCTGTATGAGCTTTCAATCTGACACAACTCACCACATGCACTCCCCGCCCAGCAGTGCAAGTTTCTCCTTGGCCTTGCGTTGATTGCCAGTCCGCTGTTCTTCCAAATGCCGCATCGATTCCTTGCGAGACTCTTTCTGCTTATACTCGGATGTGAGGATACCAAAGGTTGTAAGAACCACGTCATACTGGCGAAGCTTCGCAAAGTCTGCGTTCTTACCACTGCCATGGTAGATATAGACCTTCAGGCGATGTCGCGTGTGAATATGGCGTTCGATCTCCTTCTCCCACTGCCTCATGAGAGCGACAGGGGCGACGATGAGTGTAGTCTTACGGCGTGGGTCGTCTGAGGGTCGGGCGCAGATGAGTGAGATGGCTTGCACCGTCTTCCCCAGACCCATGCCGTCTGCCAGGATACCGCCTTTGTTGGTGCCCGTCTCCATCTATGCGCAGGTTAGTCAATCATCATGGCACATCATGGAATCCTTCAGTACCTTAATGAGCCAGGTAAGGCCAATCTTCTGGTACTCCTTTAGTTGAGAGCACATATTGGCAGGCGTCTGCTCGCGCCGCTCAGGCGCATCTTCAGCATCGTGTGCTGAGACGTTGCCAAGGAGATTCTCGACAGCTTGGGCTTCGTCGTAGGTCAGAGGCTGTCCATACTCATCTTCGTTGTCGAATGGTGCCCATGGCTTGTCAGCGTTGCCGACATAAAAAGGTACTTCGGGCGCTTCGTAAGCTCGGTTTGCTGCCTCGGGTAATACGGGCTGTTGGATAATTGTAGACTGATAAACATAGCCTGCGCCGGCTGGAGTCGGAGCCACCAAGAACTGGGCAAGCTCGTGAGTAGGCATAAAGTCTTGCCCAAAAGCGTCGACAGGCTCAGGAGCTCCCGGCAGGAAAGCATTGTTGAGTTCAGGAAACGGGTCTGGCGTTGGAGCATTCGACTCTGTTAGATCAATCACGTTTGACGGTGCCTGCGCAGGCCGACTTGGTCCATACGGCAGTGCAGTCTGGCGATAGGTAGAAGCTATGTAGTCCTGGAATGCCGGGTAGGCCTGTGCTTGATTGTGTGCTGATACCTGAGGTGGCGGCAATTGGCGGCTTGAGCTAGCGTATGCCTGTTGGTACGCAGGCAGGTCCGAGTTGACTGAGTTTGGGGTGTTTGGGGTGAGAGGACTTGGGTTTAGACTCGGCCTTTTCGACTCAGGGTACACAACATTGTGCCCAAGGCTTCGCTTTTGAGAAGCGCCGCTCGACGACGCAGGTGAGACTGGCTGCGCCGGCTGAGGAGCGGTGAGATTCATGTCGCTGTTAAGGAGCTGGGTATTTGCAGCAACTTGGCCATGCTGCACGCTATGCAGTTCTTCATACTGCTCCTCGAGCATTTGCTGGTAGAAATCACGGTCTAGGTAGTCTGGTCCGTTCTGCTGCAGCAGGTCTTCGATCAGATTGATGTTATCCTGCAACTGTTTGGCCGAGACCCAGTCGGTAGCCATGGCTGCAGCCGAGTTTCCAGTTCGCTCGGGTCGTGGTGGTGAGGTTTGGTCAGTGAGCGGTTCAAAAACGGGTAGCTGCGCGTTTGCTGGCTGGTCTTGTGATGTATTGAGGATAGTGAGCGCGCAACCGGCCTAAAGCCGCAGTGGACAGTGAAGTGAGGACAGCGGAGTGCGCATGGGGAAAATAGACTTTAGCGCGTTTAGTCTCTAGGCTGCTGCGCCTTCCTGGGGAAGGAGCATGAGCGAGGAAAGAGCCTTGGAGGAAGTTGCGAATCGCGATGACCGGACGGCAGAGCCTCGATCCGCAAGGCTTCAAGCCGGCAAAAGGAAGTTGTTAGAGGCAAGAGCCCAGAGGAGTGCCTGGCAGACGGGAGGGTCTTCTATTCCGAAGGCAACATCTCTAGCCTTGTGACGATGCGCCGTTGAGGTGTTGGGTTGGGTAAAGCGACGCGACATGTCCTCTCTCCGATATCGATAGGGCAACTACGGTTGGCTGAGCTAAGAATATTGCATCATCAACCAATAAACATCGCTTGAGGGCAATGCATAAGCTGAGATCGCTCAAGCGGTCAGGGGCTAGCTGAAAGGCTGCGAGTACGCACTAGGAGCTGGTAAATTGTCCACGAGGCTGAGTCCTTCGCCATCAATGTTCCGGTGAGATTCAACGATTTGGTGCGTGTACGACCACGCTTGTATTACCCTGGTAAGCGGATTCGCGAGCTCACGTGTCAACTGGACTCTGCTTGTCGTCCGTTTGCCTTTCCGCTTGTGTGACGTACCTATTGCCCTTGCGTGCAGATTGACACTGACTCGAACTATGCAAACGGTTACAATGCAGACAGTTGAGCCAAAAGCAAGCACATACTGCAGAGAAATCAACGCCGCTAAGAGATGGTATCACCCTCTCTATTCTTCTCCAGTATATACACCTCCCTTGAAATCGAACAAAGATGAAATAGGAAATCTTTCTTGATCAGATTCAGCTAAGTGTACACAAAATACAGTTGCCGCCTAACGCTCAACCAACTCTCCCTCTCTCCACATCTATTCACATCTCCTGCTTACGACAGCATCCTGCTCATGTCGCCACGGATACGGTTGTAATCAAGGAGACCCTCGATCTGGCCAACGGCCGAGACAGCAATGTCGCGGTCCCAGAGCTTCTTCTGGGCGAAAGCCATAACATCCTTCTCGGTGATGCGGCCGACGACGCGCTCGACCTCCTCAGGCGATAACCTGCGGCCGGTAGTGATGATCTGGCGACCAATGTCCTCGGCAACGGCGGTTGTGCCGTCGAGGGCGAGGAGAAGGGAGGCCTTGAGCTGGGACTTGGCGCGCTCAACCTCTGCGGAGGAAACGTTCATGGACAGACGGGACCATTCGCGGAGGGTGAAGTGGACAAGGTCGTCAATTTGGGTGAGGTTGTTGGTGGTCAGGTAGATACCCCACAGACTAGATGATGTTAGCTATTGCCAGTGCTATATCAGCAGATCTGCTTACCCCGTGTCCGAGTACGATGTTGAAAAGGACATGAAGCTGTTGGCGAGGTTGTTCTGCGAGACGAAAGCGCTGAGCTTGCTGCCGAGGTAGGCAGAGTTGCCCATGGAGCGGTCCCAGTTACCAACGATGGCCTGAGTGACGAGCGCGGTGAAGTAGTCGGGGTCGCTCCAGCTGACACCCTCAACAGCGATGGCAATGTTGGCGCTGCCCATAGTGTCGTCACGGAGGCGAACCTCAGAGCCAATGAACTCAGGCTTGGCCTTCTGCTCCTGGGCGATGACCTTGTTAGAGTAGTCCTGGGGCTCGGAGGGCAGGTTGGCGAAGTGCTTCTCAGCAAGCTCAACGAGCTGCTGGTGGGGGATGCCACCGGCACCGACGAGGACCATGCGGTCGGCAGTGTAGTTGGTCTTGATGTAGTTCTCGAGGTCGGTGCGCTGGATGCTCTCGATGTTCTCCTTGGGTCCGAGGATGGTGCGGCCGAGAGACTGGCCCTGGTAAGCGGTGGCGTGCAGGTGGTCGAAGACAACCTCCTCGAGCTGCTTGTCGACCTCCTCCTGCTCGCGGAGGATGACGTCGCGCTCGCGCTCGATGGCAGAGGTCTCGAGCTTGGAGTTCTGGAGGATGTCGGAGAGAATGTCGACAGCGGCGGGGACGTCGTTGTTGAAGGCCTTGGCGTAGTAGACGGTGTTCTCGCGCTGCAGATCATCAGTGTCCGTCCCGCGCGTGATCTCAGAGGCTTTCAGCACGTACAGAAGTGTAGGCGTTCAAGTGGCCGCCCATATTCTCAATCTCGAGCTCGAGCTGCTGCTGGGTGCGCTTCTCGGTTCCCTATCCCAACAGTTAGCATCCGCCTCCATCCAGCACCGGAAGGGTCTGCGTACCTTGAAGGCAAGGTGCTCGAGGAAGTGCGCGGTGCCGTTAGTCTTGTCGGTCTCAGCGCGAGAGCCGGCATCGATCCACACACCGACGGTTGATGTCTGGGCCCATGGGGAGTGCTCGGTAGCGATCTGCGCGGAGGGGTCAATTGCAATCCCGGAATCTCCGACAGTGCCGTCCATACCGTGAAGCCGTTGCTGAGGGTAGTGCTCTCCGTCTTGGAGCCGTAGGTGACGGGCGTCGCAAGGCCTCTTGTCAAGGGTGACGCCTTCTGCGCCTTGACGCTGTTGATGGCGGCGCGAGAGCGCAAGCTCCGCTGGAAGTTCAGTGCGAGCTGCCTGGAAGCCATTGCGTCGGCTCACTGTGGGAGAGGATGGCGGGCGGTGGGGGGCGGGTTGGATGATGATCCAGAGCTTCAAATCACCAAGATTGAAGTTCAGCGCAAGACGTCACGTGAAGCAAAGAGCGAATTCGCGAAAGGCAAGAGCGACCGGTGCAAATGCAAACACGTTCATTGGCCGCCCGCGGCCCCACAGCTATCCTCGGCCATTGAGACATCATCGACGAACATCTACCGGGTGTACTTTCAGACGGCCTCCTCGCACCCGCACAACACCACCGCAGCAATGGCATCCCTCATGCGTCCCTCCGTCTTCCGCCAGGCGCCCGCCGCCTCGCAGCGCGTTATGTCTGCCTTCGCGCGCCCCAGCGCCGCCATGGCCCAGTTCAAGCCCGCCTTCCAGAACTCCACACGGGTCGCCGCCTTCCACGCAACGCAGAGGAACCAGATCTTGCCTCCGCTGCCCCAGAAGATCGTTGGAACTGCCAACGTAAATGCAAGAGCAGCAGCGCATTGAGTATTATCTAAGACATGTGACAGGAGCCCGTCGAAGTCCCCACCCCCGACTACACCCACGGATCCTACCACTGGAGCTTTGAGAGGTGGGTAGTCTCATTCTGTGTGTTCTGGAGAGATAGAATTAGCAGAAGAGGTGATTGTCAAGCTGTAACGTGATCGAAGTCACAACCGGATTTGCTTTCCGGTTATATGGAAGACGAGAGGAAGGGACCACCACGACTGCGAGCAGGGCTGACAATATCGCAGGATCGTCTCCGCCGGTCTCATCCCCCTCACAATTGCCCCCTTCGCTGCCGGCTCGCTGAACCCTCTCACCGACTCGATCCTCTGCGCCCTGCTTGTCGTCCACTCGCACATCGGTTTCGAGGCGTGCATCATCGACTACTTTCCGAAGAAGCGCGTGCCTATGGTCCGTAACATGGCCATGTGGGCGCTCCGTGCCGGAACCGTCCTTCTTGGTGTTGCGCTGTACTCCTTCGAGACAAACGATGTTGGCGTCACAGAGGCTGTTCGCCAGCTCTGGACAGCATAGGCGATTTTGGGGGGGAAGGAATTTTATGCGCATTAAGGTGGATTGTGAGGAATATATGTGCTACTAGTATCAATTGATTGTGCAAAGTACAAGTTACGGTGGCGTTCGAAACGTGGAGTGCGATGTTAACTGCAATATTGTCTATATTGATGTCAGTGACAGGCATCGATAGCGATAGATGTTTTTCTCTCGACGAAAACATTGCCCTGATGCTGAAGATTGAAGGCCAAACCATCGGCGCACTCGCCAGATCAGTAATATGTGCATTCCCGAATTGAGACGTTTCCCTTATCCTCCGTCAAGCCAAGCACTCGAAGCGTCCTCGGTCTCAGGGCTTTTGCCAGTGTGTTCCCGGTCATGAGCATCCGGCAGCAGCCTACTGGGCGACAATCGTTGATGAAGCAGAGTTCCATGAAGTCGACTTACAGCGTCGTAGAACCGTGTCGAGGATCATATACTCAACAAAACATCTGTAGCCGGCAAGGAACTAGTTCGCTATTGCTAAACTTGTGCGTAGCTTCGTGGAGTCGGCCGGGACCCATATTCTGGGTGCTCGCGTAGAGGAGAGAGAAGAATCAATCACTGAACGAAATGCTGACGTTCTTGATGAGAGACAATGTGCGTTCAGAGAACAGCCATCGTATCTGGTGAGGCGGTTGGTCGAGTGGACATTGGGGAGGGAAATGATGTGGAAGGCCAAAGAGATTCTTTGCAGCGAAGATTCCTTCGACTTCGTCACAGATCTGGTTACAAATTGGCAGTATGCACAGTTATGTTAGCGAACCTTTGCTTGGTGTCTACAGCAGAACGTCTGCAGAACGGTTCCGATCGCATTGCGGAAGTAGTGACGAGCAGAACCAAATCTGCTCATGGCTTCAGGGATCTGAACGTGGTAGGTGTCGTGATGATCGTGTATGTATTCGTCAATCCTCCTTAAAGGGCATCTTGGTGGGCGAGGGCCATCTTGTAAGGACGACAAAATTGCCCACGGTTCAGCAACTGTGGCGCATCAATGAGGTGGGCGAACCAGAAAGCCAAGGCCCATGTAAGGGTCAGTAAGGTTGCGATGGTGACTTCAACAAAGGTCCTGGTGAAGAAACACGTCAGCAACAAACAGATGCGGTCGAAATGTTAGACTCGAAAGAGTGAGTGTCGCGCAGTTGAACGTTATAAGAAGCCCTTGCGGACTTAATGTATATGAAATCTTTTTGGGGTAACAACTCAAGGATTGTAAGAAACTGGACGTCTAGCTCTCGTGCACGAGACACCGCCACCTGCGCAGGGAATCAAGCCATAAACTCATCAGACGTAATCCTCAAGGGAAAAGCCCAAGACCATGTACCAACGGGCCGAGCAAACTTCTAGGAGCAGCGGGAATCGAGGGGGTGTAAGATGTGATGACATGATGAAGATTTGGGAATCTAACGAAGAGCAAAAGCTCCTAGCGCCCTGGGGCACATTTCATGCCATTAGAGACGACGAAATAGACATCGTCGCCCATACCAAAATATACCACGAATTCCGAGCGTTTTACTTCATGTTGATTTGGACATGATTTATGCCTTGGTCTCAGCAGGTGCCTCGGCGCTGGCGTCCGCCTTGGGTGCCTCGGAAGCAGGCTCGGCAGCGGGCGCATCCGCGGAGGGCTCAGCCTCGGAGGAGGTCCAGAGGGTCTACAGTAAATCAGTAAGATGCGCGGCGAGCTTCAATTTATTGCACTTACCAGGTTGTCCCTCAACAGCTGCATGATCAGAGTGGAGTCCTTGTAGCTCTCCTCGGACAGGGTATCGAGCTCAGCAATGGCATCGTCGAAAGCCTGCTTGGCGAGCTGGCAAGCCTGGTCGGGCGAGTTGAGGATCTCGTAGTAGAAGACGGAGAAGTTCAGGGCGAGACCGAGGCGGATGGGGTGAGTAGGAGCAAGGTTCTGGGCAGCGACCTCGGTAGCGGCCTTGTAAGCCTCAAGGGACTTATCGGCGGAGGTCTTGCGCTTGTCGCCAACAGCGAACTCAGCGAGGTAGCGGTGGTAGTCACCCTTCCTGTAAGTGAAATGTGGTTAGCGAGATTCTGGAATAGGCGCGCAGAATCCATACATTTTGTGGTAGAAGACCTTAGACTCGCCGCTCTCAGCAGAGGGGATAAGGTGGCCGTCGAGGCACTCGAGGATGTCCTCGCAGATCTTGGCAAGCTCGGCCTCGATCTTCTGGCGGTACTCCTTGATGAGGGCGACCTGGGTCTCGTTGCCCTTGGACTCCTCCTTCTGCTCGATCGAGGTGACGATTCTCCACGAGGCACGGCGGGCACCAATAACGTTCTTGTAGGCGACGGACAGAAGGTTGCGCTCCTCAACGGAGAGCTCCTGGTCTGCTGAAGCAACGGCCTTCATGTTCTCGACCATCTCTGTAGACACGGATCAGTCTGCATACTCACAGCTCTTTGGACATGAGCTTACCCTCATAGCGCTCGGCCTGCTCGGCCAGCTTGGCCAGGTAGACGGAGTCCTCGTAACCCATTGTGAAGTGTAGTTCTGCAAGTCTCGGTGGTTAGCAAAATTGAGCTGATGCGCAATACGCAAGTTCTGCAATAGAAGGCGGTCGTAGAGGCGCAGCCAGCCAGCCAGCCCTCAGTGTGCGCTGCTGCGCCCGTAGTTGGTTTCGAATCTCGATTTCCGTCTGCCGCATTCACCAACTGTCGAATGTGCCGGTTCGCGATGCAACGCCAGTACGGCGATTGTCGCGGCGTCGATTGCGTAAGCTGACGTCGAAATCAGGCACGGCGGTGGAGGGCGAAAGGAGGGGTGGCTTGTGCGGTGCAGTCCGCTACCACCACAATACTGATCCCATTGCATGGCCAGCATCGACTGCGACAGCGATGTGCGAGGCGGCGGTACTCGAGGCAGACACTGATCTGATGGCGCTGGCTGGCTGGCTGGCTGTTTGTTGTTGGGATCGTCGAGGGCGTATCTCCTTCACCCATGGCGGGCGCTGGGGGTAACAAGGGAACACGCATGTGTACTTACAAAAAACGGTGAAGTGGGAGAATGCGAGGTGTTCGGAAAGACGAAGTTTCGCGGTGGCGGTGAATAAGACGGTGGTGTTGAGTCGATGTGGAGGAGTGTTTATCTAGAGCCCTGGAGGGGGTTTGGGCAAGCGCTAGCCCCGTTCACGCTGATCATGCCTGCCTTGCGTTTCACTCCTTCCAGCCCTGCCTCTACTGATCTACTTTGACAGGCGCTGATGTCTGTCACTTCACAATCCTCAACCTGGTTTCCGGGCTTCTGTCACTGAGGTTCGCATTGGGTCTTGTTGTTTGCTACTTGCACACCGTGACTTTGTACCGCTGCCCCGCATTTCTTCCACCATGACCGCTACGCAGTGAACGATGTGCAACAATCGTTGGGCGCCGCATTGCTGCTTTTGTGCTGCTTTTGAGCTGCTTTCAGCCACAGTCTCAGGCTGGCTAGGAGGCCCTGCTACGAGGGAGAGCTGCGTTGGGCAGTAGCATGGCAAGCAGGAGTGGCTGCGCATCGCCCGTTGCTTGACACGATGTTCCATCCTGTAGCCGTCAGGTTTTATGTGCAAGACCAAGTCTTATGTACAAGTCTATTGTGTGCGCTGCATCTGTCGCTATGCCAATTGATGGCTGTGCAAGGCCTCGTTGATCTGCACGGCGGTCTCCAGAAATGTGCAAACATAGAACCTCGTACCATTGCGAGTCTCCAAGTGAGAAAGCTGCGCTCAACAGCACGCCATATTCATCCTCACTCTCGCGTTCGGTCTGCAACTGGCTGCGTATGTGACAGTCAGCATCACGTGCAGCTCCAACTCGATCAGCTCGACGATTGTGTCATCGGGTTGGTTAACAACCAGCTCGGACCAACCAGCTTCCAAAATTGCCGTCACACCACCAAACCACCCATCTGAACATCTCCATACTCCCCAATTCACGCCAAAATCACATATCAAAATGCTTCGCACATCCATCATCAAGAGCGCGCGCGCCGTCGCTGCTCCCCGCTACTTCTCCGCGTCTGCTCTCCGCATGGCTGAGGGAGCTACCGGCTCTGGTGCCTCGAGGGCCACAGGTCGCGCTGGAGGGTAAGTCTGCCTTATGCCAGTCCGCTATATTGATGGACATGCAAGCTGACCGTGCTACAGTGATGCATTCACCAAGCGCGAGGCCGCCGCCGAGGAGCTCTACATTCGCCAGGAGGAGAAGGCCAAGTACGAGTGAACCTGTGTCGCCAATGGCTTTCGATACACCCTACACTGGATGAAGAATGCAGTTGGCAGTTTTTGAACACAGCTAACGCGGCTTTTTAGGCTCCTCGCTATCAAGGAGAAGCTCAAGCTGCAGAGACAGCACATCGAGGACCTTGACAAGCACATGTCCGTATCCACGCATATCCAAGCCGTATGCACAGCACTGACAGTACAACAGTGACGATGTCATCAAGGAGGGCTCGGCTTCCGGCCAGGGCGAGCAGAAGTAAGCACTTGGTGCGATCTTTTTGTCTCAGTTCCTTCCCTCTGTTAGATATACTGTAGAATGCGTCGGGCTGACCTCTCGGTCTCGTACAGCTATTGAATGAACACCATCGACCCAGACACCCACCCGTCCTGCGGCCACTTCACTGTCGTGGCAAGCTACATCGCCGTGACACCGACTCGCACAAATCGATGCCAGTGAACTTGAGACTCGCGTTGCTCCCTTTGCATGTAGGAAGGCTCATGTACCGCTCACTCCAGGTCGTTATTTTCTGATTGATCTCCTGGCTTTTCTACGCTCATTCAGTCTTGTATCTGGCATAAACAGCTCTACCGCCCAACTGCCATCATCCTGGCAATCAGGTATTCAAACTTACGGCAAGAAAAGGTCAATTTGTAGCAATGAGGTTCGTTCGTATATTCCAAAATATTTTCGCCCCAATACTGAGTATTCTCGCATTGCCACACAGCTAGTTGCAACATATAGAGCTTCCCGTAATCTGCAGTTTCCTTACGAAGTCGCCGATCACCAGTGAATATAAGCCGAACACCTCCCTTTGCGTTGAGTACCAAGACTTCAACAATTCTCTGAGTTACATACAGACGTACCTCGGCCTACACACAAGATCACTGTCCAAATCAGACACTGAACACCATCTTGCGCATCCCCGGGGGACCTTTGTAGGGCCAGACTGGGATATCGCAATCCATCAATACCTGGTGCCTCTCTGCACGAATACCTACACCTAGGATCCTAATATCCTTCGCGTGCTTCAGTACATATGACCAGGCCACTTCAAGCCTCCGACAGCACCCAACCGGGCAGTACGCGTTGCTGAAGTCCAACTCAAGTGACTGGAGACCGCTGAACCTGCCGATCGCCACCGAAACGCTCCGGCAGCAGAGATCCTGCCAGGCTATGGCCTTTCGATGAGCGTACTTCATCTTCTGGTGTGTGGTCCACTGACCGACGGTTTTGGGATGCTTAGCGTTGCAGACATTCCAATCAGAGCGGCCCATAGTGCAGGGGACGTCGCAAGTTCGGACACAGATACCAACGCTGATGTGTTTGACCATGTGGAACGCGGCTTTGGAGAAGAGCCAGGACTTGCCCTGACACAAGGCATTCTCCTCTCCAGCAGCTCGAGCAGGCTGCATGTAATTCCAAAGAGGAGGAAGTACGAAAGTATTCTTTGCCAGGTAGATAGCTTCAGCTTCGTCGTGGATAGCCCTGCACACGCGTAAGATTGATAAAGACGGCGGTCGGTATTCGGAGTGGTTGTTGAAGCGGCGGCCTTCGTGCACATCGTACCAGTCTGGCGTGAAGAAGACTTTCCCCACTAGCACAAGGTTTTCGTAAACATATGCTCGAAGTTCCGGCGGGAGGTCCATAAAGCGGAACGACGCATCATTGGGGGCAACTGGTGACAATGATTGAACGGCAAGCATGTCTCCATTGGTTGAGGAGACTTGAGCGCCCATAGTCGGGACGGCCGGTGAGTGTCCGAGTTTGGGTTGAGTACCTGTGGTAAGGTTGAGAAGAGTCCCTGCAACGAACGAGTTTGCGTTCAAGACCAAGGTGGTGTCTCAAGAAAATACGCGATAAGTGAAAGTAGGACCATATGCGCTTGTGAACTGTTCAGTTGCTGCTGAAGAAGTCACGCTTTGAACGCCTAACTTAATAGACCCTGAAGACGAGGTCTGCCTACTCCTTCAAAACATCTACCCATTCCGCAGGCCGCAGCTTCCCTCCCGCGTAGCCCTCATGCAACCAACTCTCGCCATCAAAGCCAAACTCAATCAGCGCATCCTCACTGCCCCACTCACCCTGTCCACTTAATCCAATGGGCACCTTGCCCGGCCCCTTGCTCTTCTCGCCATCTACATATCCGACAGGGAACTGAATGCAAGGAATGCCAGTGAAGTTCGCAAGCCAGACATACTCCATGTTCTTGAGCTGCATGTTTGCGTTCGTCATGCCATGAGCTAGGTCAGCTTCCTCGATAGGCCAGCCAGCGTTGGGAGTCGTGGGTGTGACAATAATAAGACCTGGGTGCTTCTTGAACAGGTAAGCAAGGTGCTCCATGATGATATTGCGAACACGCTGAGCGAGCAGGAAGTCTGTGGCAGGGGTTTGCCTTGCCACGCTCATGAGGATCCTGTTGGCGGGAGTGAGATCATAGATCGAGGTTTGGTGGCCGGCTGCGCCTTCTGCCAGAATAGTCATGGCGTGTGCGAGTTGTCCTTGATGGAGTAGCGGTATGGTGATATCGATAACTTGGTAGCCGAGCTCAAACTGGAGGTATTGCAGAGCCGAGTGGCATGCTTCTTGCACCGGAGGATCGGCACGATCGAACCACGGCTTGTAGATACCAAGTACCTTGTTGCGTGGTCCTGTAAGCGCTTGAGAGGGACTGAATACAGCGGAGGGGTAGCTGTTAGGATCCGGTTGCGCCAGGACACGGTAGGATAGCTCAAGGTCAATCATGCTGCTCGCCAAGGGGCCTCGCACCGTGACGGACTTTCCAGCATTTGGCATAGGGGCTGTCGACACTCGATTGTGAGAGGTCTTGAGACCGTAGAGGCCACAGTAGTTCGATGGAATACGCACTGAGCCTCCCCCATCTGAGCCAATGGCAAAGGGCACCAGACCGGCTGCAACAGCAGATGCTGCACCTCCAGACGAGCCACCAGTATAGTACTGCTGGTGGTATGGGTTCAACGGCGTACCCCAGATCGGGTTGTTATTTGTCGTATCCATTCCCAGCTCGTGCATGTTGAGCTTACCCACGAGAACAGCGCCTTGCTCTTCGACCTTCTTCACGCACCAGCTCGTCTCCGCTTCATACTCCCTGCCATTGGTGTAGTCATGGCTGGTACCAATATATCTCTTGTAACCCTTGACCTCGAGGTCGTCCTTCACGGCAAATGGCACACCATCTAGTATACCTAGTGGCTTGCCGGCCTTCCATCGTCTTGTCGATGCCTCTGCCGCTTGCCTAACGAGCTCGATTGGCCCGGGCATAAACGAGGTAGAGTGACGCGAGCGCTGCGCAACATCCCTTCGAATAAGCGGTAGTAGAGTCTCCACGACTTCGGTGGGTGTGTGCGTGCCACTTCTGTAGGCATTGTGGAAGTCGACAACCGTGTAGAACCGCTCTTGCGCGCCCGCAGACTTGAGTCGAAGCTCATTCACATGATCAGGTAGGCTGAATGTGCCATCGGTGGACTCTGATATTGGAATGACGGTCGGATCGTAACGGGGATCTATGCCATTGAGCTCCTTCAGGTTGCGCAGGGAGCTGAAGCCTGCGTTGCTCCATAGCAGGTATGGCAGCCCAGGTACAGCAGCGACACTACACTTATCAGCACGTTACACGTAGCGCGACTTCAATGTTTCTTACAGGCTTCCAAGGTAGTTCAGTAGTGCGCCCTTGACCACCGGGTTCTTGGCTGGTGGTGGGGCTGTGTAGGGTGCTTCACGGGCGATTGGGGTGGGGTAGTTCAGGAAGCGCGCCGCAGTATCGCTGTTCGACATTGTTTATAAAGATTCAATTGCAGTTCCCACGTAAGGAAGACGAACTTCCTCAGCTTCCAGGGCTTCGATCGACGGATGCTTGTGTCAATGTGTGCTTTGAGAGCAGGATTGCGCTAAATGGGTACCTAGGCAAGATAACACATGTGACAGCGCGAGAATCACACACAAGTATGTCACGACCACACAAGCTTCTGAGGCCCAAACGTCAAGAACGATGATACTGCTTTCAACGCTAACGCAATGCTTTAATGTTGTTTCGCTAGAGCCCAACAGAATCGAACGACAGAATCTCAATCGTGAGTTCTTACACGTTGTACTGATACTCCATCCAATTGGATTCCCAATACCTAGTCTGCACGCAGACATATGCTTCCAAAGTGTGCCGAGAGCAAAAGACGGTGTGGACAAGCCTGCGCAGGTTGAGCCGCGTCAGCAGGGCCTGAAACGTCGTTTGACATAGCTGCTCAGTAGCCCACCTGACGTCTACTTGCTAGAGACCTGGTCACCCATGCGGTTGTACTCCTTCTGCATCTGCTCAACTTGCTTCTTCAGGTTCTCCATGTCGCGGTCCTTAGCAGCCAGCTCGTTCTTGAGCTTGCCGACCTCGCCAGCGCCGCCAATATCCTTGAGAGAAGAGCCTTTCTTGGTGCCAGTCTCGCCCTTGTAGGTCTTGAGCTCCTCCTCAAGGCGGAGAACATCGAGAATCATGACGTAAGTACGGTTGAGGATAAGGGAGAGGAACAGGGTGAAGCCGCAAAGGTACATGTTGCGCTGCGAGTAGAACTTGCGGGCCTGGACCTCCATGCGCTCGATGCCACCAAGGCTGGCTTGTCTGTAGAGTTGTCAGCTGCTGTCGCTGCTCCGGATGTTTACAGGACCTACCCTCCCTGCTGTGAGTTGCCGCCGAAGCTGGACAACTCCACCTGGACGCGGTAGACGCGGTTGACGCTGTCTACGAAGAGGATAAGGATGAAGATAAAGGTTATCTAAACTCAAATTAGAGATATCCCTTGCAAGGGACAAAGATACATACCTTCATGCCATATTGCAGTTTGGCGACTATAGGACTCTCCGAGATGAAGGTGAAGAGCTTGCGGCGCCATGTGAACGGCAGAGGGACAATGAGAGCGCAGAAAATGAGCATCTCCGTTACCAGGAGGAGGAAGACCTAGAAGAAGAGCAGAAGTAAGCACGTGAGCCACATTGTATTTGGCGGGAGGATGCGGGAAGGACACGCGACTGCTGCAGCACAGGAGGACGCCATTGAGGAGCATCCCAGTAGTACATACTGTCTGCTTGATATCGGTATGGAATGAGATGACTTACGAGGCTGTAGTAGAGTGTCATGTTTGCAACGTAGCTCTGTTCTCACAGGGGGGCTGAGGTTGTTTGTTGTTGGTGGAGTCGTGTACAACGGTGTTGTATGTTGGTAAGGTGAAAGCTGTTTGGTGACTTCCCTGAGGTAGATCGATGCTTGTTTATACTGGTGGAGGTTGTGGGCTGAGGGGAAGAGGGAGGGACAGGAACGCAGAGTTCACAAGCTAAGCGTAGGCAAGCTTGCATGTGTGAACTCTGACGTATTGACGTGGTCCGTGGGAAAGCCACAGGTGGCTCACCCGAGTCTAGACCGCTTCTAGCAAAGGTCGAATGCGTTTTTATCAAATTACCTCAGCCGGAATCAAGAACACTAACTCCAACATCTTTCGTAAGGTCAGCTTGCAGCAATAATTGTCTAAAATCATCTGCAATGGACGGTGAAAAGGTCGAGGGCTTGTCTGGCCAGCCATTGCTTGGTGCGACCATTCCACTGGATTCCAATGGCGCACACAGTGGCGACAGCGAAGTGAAGAAACGCGCGAGAAGTAACAGCCCCAACGGTGAAGTTGCTAAAGGACATGCGAAGCGCGTGAAAGGTGTTGCGCCTGTCAAGGCGGAGTAAGTGGCTTTGTAGAGAAGATATGATACTTTGTGCTAATTCCCAAGGTACTTGATTCTCCGCAGCGATGCCAAAGTGGAGACAAAGGATGCGGTTGTCGATGATGATGCAGCTGAGGCAGCAGACGGTCGCTATCAGAAGGGCGACTCGCGCGATGCCCGCGATGGCGGAGGTAAAGGCAAGAAAGGCAAGAAAGAGAAGAAGCAGAAAGGCGGCCAGAATACCAGCCGAACTTTTGGAAGCTCTCGCGATACACTGCCACTTTGCTCGACACGAATGCTCAGCAATGAGTTTTCTCCCAAGGAGTGCGGCTTTGGCAGCAAGTGCAGGTTCGAACACGATCTTCGCAAATACCTAAAAGAGGGCCGCCGTGAAGATCTTACCACTTTCGACGGCAAATGCCCAATCCACGGGGTTAAAGGTTATTGCCACCTTGGCTGGAAATGTCGCTTTGTTGGCAGCCACTCGAAGGAGCGCGATACTGACGATGGGCGAAAAGAGCTGGTTCTCATCGAGGATGCCGAGCGCACGTCGACAATGGTCAATCTTGAGGATGAGGTTGATGTTGCAAACGTCGTGTCCAAAGACGTCAAGATCGGCCTCGCAAAGCGCAAAATACAGACACCGCGCTCAGACCAGTACATGAAGTGGATTGACTCCAATAAAGATAACGAGCGTGCCATGTTCGATTCGGCAGCTGGCGACAACGAGGCGTTGAAAGAGGAGAAAGAAGCGCGAAGAGCTGAATTCGTCGAGGCGCCATTCAGACCGTCCGAAAAGCGGAGGCTATACTATGGTCCTGAAACACCAAGTCTGGCACCTCTCACGACCCAAGGAAACATGCCTTATCGCAGGCTTTGCGTGGATCTCGGTTGTCAGGTCACATGGAGTGAGATGGCCATGGGTATGCCTCTCATTCAGGGCGAGAGAGGCGAGTGGGCGTTGATGAAGGCGCACGAGTCTGAAATCAGCCCACCAAAATTCCTCCAAAAGAACACAGTCGTTCAGGGCTATGACAACACGAGTGACATGAAGTTTGGCGCTCAGATTGCGGCGAACAAGCCATGGCTAGCCGCAAAGACTGTCGAAGTCTTGACCGACCACTGCCCAAAGCTGCGAGCTATCGACTTGAACTGTGGCTGCCCGATCAACCTCGTTTGCGAGAAGGGCGCTGGTTCGGCTCTCCTTGACCAGGACTCGAAGCTTGAGAGCATTCTACGTGGCATGACTTATGTGTCGAAGGAAACCCCTATCACCGTCAAGATCCGCATGGGCACAAAGGACAACAACCCAACTGCTACAAAGCTGATCAGGCGTCTTGTGCTTGGTGGCTACGAGGCCGTACAGTCCGGCAAAGGCACTTCTGGAATTGCCGCCATCACACTTCACGGCAGAAGTAAGCAGCAGCGCTATTCGAGAAGTGCAGACTGGTCTTACATCGCCGAATGCGCATCTCTCATCAAGCGCCTCAAAAGCGAGAAGGATGCACAAACGGACACAATTGCCGAAGCCGATCCTCGTGATCTTGCCAATGGCGGTCATGTCTACTTCATCGGCAATGGTGACTGCTACTCTCACGAGGACTACTACAATAACGTTAACAATGCTGGCGTTGACTCCGTCCTGATCGGCCGTGGTGCGCTGATCAAGCCCTGGATCTTCGAGGAGGTTGAGAAGGGCCAATATCTCGACAAGTCTGCCTCCGAGCGTCTGACCTACATTGAGAAATTCGCCAAGTACGGCCTGCAGACTTGGGGGTCCGATGAAATGGGCATCGGGACAACGCGCCGTTTCTTGCTGGAGTGGCTCAGCTTCGCTCACCGATATGTACCTCACGGTCTTTTGGAGCACCTGCCTCCCAACATCCAGGATCGACCACCGAGGTTCAGGGGCAGGAACGACCTGGAGACGCTGATGGCTAGTGAGAACTACAAGGATTGGATCAAGCTCAGCGAGATGTTCCTTGGTCCTGCACACCCCAACTTCAAGTTCGAGCCCAAGCACAAGTCCAATGCTTACGAGATCGAGGCTGAGGGGTAGACGAGTGACACGTTTTCATTTGGAGTTTATCACTCTTGAGTCTCCATTTGCAATCATGAGCTAGCATTATAGACTCCAATGCATGCGTGCGAACTACATTCATTGGGTGTGTGACTTCAAATTCTTGACGATAGGGGAGCTTCTTGAAGACAAGACCATCGAATCTTTCTTGGTCACAACAAGCTGGTCGTGTACAGTAAATCGGACAATGCTAGCGATGTTGGTGTTGCGCCCAGACGGTACCAGCCTCATGTTTTCTACGATGTCGTCAGTTCATAGCGCTTGATTGGCCCAAGCGTGAGAACGCGCCGAAACTTTACACTGCGTCCCATCGCTGCCTCTGTGCCTATCGTTCACGTGAGGCTATCGTTCACGTGAGGCTATCGTATACATAGAGAGGAGCGCGATTTGTCTCTCTTCACTGTCATTTCCGTTCCTGTGCGCGTTCTGTACTTTGACACACAGTCATGCACGGACTACTTGAGCTGTCTCTGCAGCTTCTCAACTTCAGGTACGCGGTACCAAGGCACTGATGTTACAATGTTCCAGTCGACAGTCTGCTAATTCACTTGGAAAGGGGTTCTTCTGATGCGCAAAAGCCGATACCTGGAGAACATGCTGCTGTGAAGCGTGAGTACCTTGAATGTCCACCGTCCAAACGATAGCTGAGCCACACCAGTCACACCAACGATTAAGTCTGCTGGCGTTCCAGATTACTTCGTCACGGATGATGGTCATTTCGCAGGTACGTTATGGTGAATGCTTATTGGTCTTCTGCTCACGAATGACCAGGACCCACACAAACCGGCGATGCACCGTACATGGCTCAAACCAACATAGCGCCTTTCATTGGAGTGTCTTACATTCCTAATGCGCCCCTCGAGACCCAGGTACCCATTGCCAACGCTGAAGGACGGAATATCTTCCGAAGTCTGGCCAACCTCAGCCCCTACTTCCCTAACCCGCGCGGCTTTGGTGTGGACGAGTATGCTATCCCACCAGGCTCGAACGTCACATGGCTGAACATGGTGCATCGCCATGGCAGCCGCTACCCCGAGTTCAGTGGTGATGCAGCTGAGATGATGCTTGGAAGGAAGCTGACAGCCGCTGCTGGAAAATTCACAGGCCATGGTGCCCTAGACTTCCTCAACTACTGGAGATGGCAGCTTGGTGGCGAGATTCTGGTCCCCATGGGCAAGCAGGAGCTCTTCAATTCTGGCACGCTGCACTACTATCAATACGGTCATCTCTACCCCAACAATGGCAGCAAAATTGTAGTCCGCAGTACCACACAACGACGCATGTACGAGTCCGCAGAGTATTTTATGGCAGGCTTTTTTGGTCTAGGGTGGGCACAGAACGCGACTCTCGAACTTGCCATTGAGTCGCCGGGCTACAACAATACCCTCGCCGGATACAAGCAATGCAACCATTCCAGCTGGCTCATGGCGAGAGATGCGCTCATGGAGTGGGTTAATGTATATCTCGTTGACGCACACGAGCGTTTTACGAACAACATAACCGGTGACCTCGATTGGACCATCACCGACACCTACAACGCCCAAGCCTTCTGCGCGTATGAGACGGTTGGACTTGGTTTCTCCCACTGGTGCAGTCTGTTCACCTACGAAGAGTGGGAGGGCTATGAGTATGCCCTCGACATCGGCTTCACAGCAGGAACGGCCTTTGCTTCCCCGGTCGGACGCGCCATCGGTGTTGGCTACGTCCAGGAAGTACTCGCACGCATGCAGCACCACGTCATCGTCGACCAGAGCGCGCAGATCAATATCACGCTTGACAACAACAACGCTACATTCCCAGTAGACCAGAACTTGAACCTCGACTTCAGCCACGATGCAAACATCATCAGCATCTTGGTTGCCTTTGGCCTGACCCAATTTGCCGAGCACCTGCCCACCAATGCCATCAAGAAAGATCGCGAGTTCATCCTGAGCTACATGGAGCCGTTTGCTGGCCGCCTCGACATCGAGGTCATCAAGGCACCTGCGCCCGTCAACCCTAATCGCCACTCAAAAGATATCTACCTTGACGGTGAGCCGACCAGCTACGTGCACTTCATTCTCAACCAGCGCACAATCCCTCTTGGCAGAAGCTTGCAGGCGTGCGGCGATCGGGATGATGGGTGGTGCGATATCGAGACGTTTTTGAAGGTGCAGAAGGAGCAGATCGAGTTGGCCGACTATGAGTATGCGTGTTTTGGGGACTATGAAACCCCCAAGTATGGAGACATTACGGATGGACGACCGGTCAAAAAGGAGTAGACGATACCCTCGTTCTGCTGCAGCATATGCTGGAGTTGAGCACGAGGGGTCTTGAGAGTGATAAAGAGTTATAGAGACAAGATAGCGAGAACTGAAATTATACAATACCTACTGCGAATTCCCATCTGGTCGATAGACACAATCGTCCTTGCTGACCGTCTCATCTGTTGTCCCCGTGTTCGCGCTTGAAGCCATCGTCCGTTCGTCCTCGTCTTGTCTGACATCACCATCGCCCCCTCTCATCTCTCATCGGCCTCACTTCGCTCGCCTCTCCCCACAATCTCCTCCATTCAAGAAACCCAGCAGTACCTTTGTGGAAAGCCGACCTCGCTTCGCTCACTCATTACACCCACACACGGCTCTTACCGGCCCTATCAGCCAACCAGTTTACACGCTGCTTATCCGGTGCTACACGCGTGGATAATGGCCGGCTAGTTGACTCGCAAGCTGCCTTGTCCTGGAGGCGAAGCAGCTGCAGGCTCAGCCCTGTGAGAGTCATGATCGGGCCGATGTCCGACCAAGACCGGTTTGAGAGGGCTAGCATGAATAGTTCGACGAGTGCGGGAATCGCCCGGTGTCAAGCGCTCGGTGCAAAGTGTCTGCTACTTACCATGTTGACAGGTACACCGCGGTGAAGCTTGGAGAAGCGCCGAGGCGCGGTGTTCGCACGAAGGCTGCCGCGAGGAAGGTGGAATTGCAAGGGGAGACGCGTAAGGTAGACGTCATTGCAGGGCATGTAGAAGCTGACTCTACTTCTGCGTTGTGGAGAAACTATTGATCTGTTGATGAGGGTTGCTTTGAATAGGACCGCGGCGACGTTTTTGGGGCAGTGTAGAGTGGGATGGGGTGATTTCGCTGTGGCCTGACTCAACTTCTATTGCCCCTCTATAGGTAATTGCTATTAAGATGCGCAAAACTTGTCGACATGATGTGAATAGAGGGGCAAGGCAGGAGGTTGCCAATGAATTGACGTGTGGAGAGATGAGCTGGCATTTGCGACGTTGAAGTGACTACCTACTTGTTTCAGAAAGCACATAGCAGGTACGGCTACATGTGGACATGTCCTATAGGTAGAGTGGACTGATGGCGGAGTGGCATCGCATAGGTACTGCAGTTTCACCAAGTCCGCAGATATTAGTCATATTCACCTTTTGAGCAACCAACGCTTGGCTGCAGTTCCCGATCGTCGTCAACGATAGGTCGGAGATATTACAGGCGAGAAAAGTACCATGGCCATGGCTTGATGTTGTAATCCGCGCAAGCATCCCGTTGGCGGGAAGTGATGCACCGCACGTCCACTTACATGTTGCAGCTTCAGGTTTGCCGCTCGGATTTGCAATTGCGGAGAGTGCTTTCGTCCCGACTACATGGTCAGCTGCCTCCTAAACAACATCCATTTCGGGCCGTTTGAGATATGCGTGAAACGTAGTCCCAGGTCTGCCCCTACCCTTAACGTCGATGTCAGCCCAAGACGGCAAGGCTGCTCTGCCTGACCTGGTGCAAACCCCATCTTTCGTAAGATCGTCATTTGAGCAGAAAGGCGGTGTCTTCGCTTGGACCTCAATGCACGACCTTAGCTGAGCGAGAGATTATTGAAGACGGGAAGATCTTGGACGTCAACCAAAGAGAAAAGGTTCCGTGTGTCAGGCCGTCGTCAAGTGAGACATGGAAGTTAAGCTTTCCGGCGTGTAATGTCATTAACGTGTTGATCACCGTTGCTCAACGCTCAGAGAAAAAGAAAGAGACGATTTTGCGGCGGTGAATTGCGACATTTCTCCCATAGGTAGGGGGTCCGGAAGAGATTCCTTTCAGTGGAATAGTGTGCTCCCACCACGAGTTTGCAAGGGCTTGGCTCGGCGACATGGCTTTTCGTGCGGACGGAACAATGGACGGTTGCAGCGTTCCCAAGTTACACGGTAATTTAATACGAGGTTGCCTCACTGACTGTTGGTTTGAGAGAAGAGGATGGCGTGGGCTGTCAAAACGGTGAGGTGCGTCGAACACAGTGCGTCAGTGGCTAGTGAGCACAGAAGCATTGCCGCCTTGACAATGCGCGCATTGAGCAGACACAAAGAAATTTCTTGTGACAGGGAGTGGTGAATTGAGCTACAGGGAGCGCCGCAGGGTCCAACGCATGTGACGATCCTATACGAATTTCGACGAAAGAGAGCAGACGGCGGCGGAGATCTGCGCTCGCGGCCAACGACGACAATACGGCTGAGAAGAGGGGCGCGTGGACACTGCGACCCATATTTTGAACAGTCAACAGACGATGCAGAATAAAATTTGTCTTAGGTAGAGACGGTAGTGGGTTAAAAGGGTGGTATTCCCAGAGCCGGCGGCGTGGGCTGTCGTGTCGACGGGAGGTTTTCGCGTAGCGGAGGCATCGGTGTTGTAGTGAAGGCTTGGTTGGCACCGACGTCCCAGGGAGGAAAGAGCGTTCAAGAAGGCGCCTACCCGCCGAGCATCATCATCTCAGGCAGCTCGTCTCGCACGCAGTTGATTGGCAACGCAACATCGAGGCAGTACGCAGGCCAGCGCACGTCCTTGCCGTCATTGCCGGGAAGGAGATGATGTCAACTATCGCCTGGTGCGACAGGCGTGGTTGCGGCGCCGTTGTGGGGACCGCAGACAAGGGCGTGGTTGGCAGTCAATCTTGATTGTTTGCAGCTAGCAATGCCATCCCGCAGACGTCATCGCCACTCAGCCTTCACCACTGCGGTTGCAAGCAATGGCGATCAGGACGCACTCAGCGGCCGCCTCCTTGCGGGCAGAAACAGCACTCGCCGCAGGGCCGCCCGCCCCAGCGTCAGACGCCCTGTTCCGCGGCACTGTGTCTGCCAGCGCTGCTGTTGACTCGACACTGGTTTGCCGCTGGTTGTCCTTCGGCCCCTCAGGGTGGACTCTGCGCTTGGTACTGAGGGCGATCGACAGGATCAAACCTTGGAGTCGCAGCGCCGGCGAGTGGCCGCTCGGGAGTGACTACACTGAGGTAGCGCGTGAACATGTTCTGAATCGCTCTGTTGCTCGTCTCTGCGTCTTTTGGATCTTCCACACTCATCTGTAGCCGCATCTCTGCCCGCACGCTTCTTCACCGGCCTAATTCGCATCTGCAGCCCCCACGAGGACGCCGGGCTCGGCAACGCAGCGTCATCGCATACCTCAGCCAGTCTACCCACATTCCACCCAGCGCCCGAGGCTCCGACACCACGTAGCAGGGGTCAATACCCGACTTCCTGCAGCAGAAGACCCTTGATATTGCAAGTGGCATAGCGCTCCCAGCGGGGCTTCCTAACAAGTCCTCATCCCTCGACATCGCCCACTTTGCTACCTTGGCGCCAGACCACTTGATCTAACGGCGCCGTTCCTGCCGAGTTGTACAACTCTCTTCAACTCTTACTACAGAGCCGCACCGCAGTTTGTTCCTGAGATGTCGGAACAGTCAACTTCTGCTCCCTACCCGACTGTCGCAGTCTTCGACGTTGACCGCCGGTCATCGTATCCAGACGACATGAGCACCACCAGCAGCACCGGCTCCGTCAGCGACCAGGACGGCCCCAAGGGCGGCGACCCCACCATGCGCCCGCGCCTGGGAAGCAGAAAGTCCAGCGGCACCATCATAATACCGCGCGACAGTCCCCACGTCGAGCTCAAGGAGGAGGAGTACGACGACGGCGATGCCAGGACCATGAGCCCTCGACGAAGCAGCGAGGAGATTGAGAAGATGGGCCAGGACGCTCGTCAGGCCTTGATAGAGTAAGTTGCTACCAAGACACCACCACCACCTTTCGGCAATCGCATGCAGTGCAAGAGCAACACCGGCGACCACCACCTCGCGTTGTACACCGCCCGTTGTGTTGTAGTGCCCTGACTACCACCAATTCCAACTCGATGACTAACCCGTCCCCAGGCAAGCCAAGCAACTCCAAGCAAGCCTTATGGAGATCGTCGACCGTGTAGAGGTTGTCAAGTCAGAACACGAGAAGCTTGAGGGCGGCAACAAGTTCCTGCAATCGTACGTATTCGTCCGTCACAACTGGTGGCTCTCTCTAATACGCTGCAGATACATCGGCGAGCTCATGCAAACCAGCAAGCTCACCTCCTCTGGTGCTGGCAAAGCTACCAAAGTCAAGGGCAAAGGACGAATTATCAAATAACAGCCAGCGCTCCCAGCCCCTAGGTTACTTGCCTGCAACGATGGCTGGGGTCGCAGAGCATACCAAATCGGCTTTCCACCAGGACCTCATCGCATCATCGACGCGACACGCCCCACCAATCCCCACTACACGAGCATCATGATCATCTACTGCCTCACACATTAACAACACCGCACACATCCGACTCACTAAACTGACTGCGTTCACGAGCGTTGCATAACGGCATGGATTCCGTCGGCGTTCTTCACTTTGTTCGATTCAGCACGACTGCTACTGTGTTACCATCTTCCAGCACCCGTAACTTCTATTTCGACAAATACTCGATCTGGCTTTGCCAGCCGTTGTTTCACTGCTCGCTTAAACTACTATACCACGGCACCTCGAGTGCTCCTGCGTTTGCTTTACATCATGGCGACATTGGCGTTCCGGAGTTTGGACGCTTTTGATGTCATCGTTATTGGACCGGTTTGGAAAGACGGAAAGAAGAGGTCTAGCGTCTAGCCTATAGCACAGCGAGTGCGACACGCCTGCGCTCGTTGGCTATGTAAGGCTGTTGGAATGCTGAAATCGCTTCCATTTGGCAGGAGGAAGTCGCTAACCCTGAAACGTGTCAGTAGACAACTAAGAGATCCGCATTACATAGTTCAATCGATCGCAGTGTCCACCCGCAATTTTACTACCATTCACCGCCTCTGCGTCCTTGCGCCAACATGTATTGTCTCAATGTCACGATGATGCATCAACGGCCGACGTCAAACTTTCGCATTCGGCGCCTACCGAGCGGATTTTACCGAATCCGTTTGGAGCGCCAGGAGATGGTGATGGTCGCACAGCACCACCGATCGCAATCTCTGTACCGCCCGTCAGATATCCACATCGAGCTCCTACCGGCAAAGGGTACCATAGGACCCTGCGTCGCAGCAAACCTCCGAGGCGCGATCGAGATGAGTTTGCTCGCACTGCGGTTGAATCGAGATACCTAGTCCCGAGAAGGGCAGACCACCTGTGGGTCAGTAATGGGTTTCGGTGCGCCGACCCACTCGAGCGCTGCGTGCAATGCCAACACAGAGGTTCGCTTCTTTCTTGCCTGCGTGATGGCGATGTTGCACTTGCTTGCCGCTGCGCGCTCCACTAGTGCTTGACGTGTGAGGATCATTCAATCGAGCATTCTGCAACCTCGCTGCTGCACACGTCTCCTGCTTTGATTCGCTCTGCCATCTTGCACCCGGCGGCCTTCACTGCATCGCCCGAGTCCCGGGCCCTACGCTCCACGCCTCCACAACTCCAGCGCTGTCTGGATTCTGCACCCGTCGCGCGACCCCGTGGTGGTGGTAGCATCAGGCCTCACCGCCACATCTCCCTGCATCAATCCCATCTTACTTCTGCGTGCGAAACACTCCTCAGCATTGCCTGTGCTCTCGTTCCACTTAGCGCTCCAGCATGCATGGGTGCAGAGGCACGCGGATGCACCTCCTGCAGCCGACGCCACGTGCTCGAGGCCGGCACAGCATGTGCAGCGAGTTAGCGCTGTGTGCACGGGAGACGGGTGCGATGTCGACCTTTTGAAGGCGAGAAGAAGACATGGACTGCGATGCAACGCTGACATCGTGACAGTGCAGTGCGCACTGGACCATGCGAGCAGGTAGGTAGGTAGGTTGGTGGGTAGGTGCGCGCACATCGAACACCCTCCCGTACCTAGGTATTGCCTTATCAACCGCGCACCTCTCGCTTGCGCAGCACGCCTAACACGAGACGAATGCGTCTCCCGCCCTACCGCCTGGCGCCTGGCCAAGTGCGTTCCCAGGTAAACGCGGGTCGCGGTGCTCGGTACGCTCGCGCAGTATGCAGCAGCAGTGGTATCACGGCATGGCTAGCGGAACCGCGAAGCCGTCGGGAAACCCTTTCAGCGCACCGCACGGCTCCTACGCGTTGACCGGAAAGCACGACGCCGCGGGTGGGAAGACATGGTGCTGGGAGCGGCACGAAAGGGCAGGAAAGGATTGGAATGCAATGATATGATGGGATGTCAACGATAGAATAGCTAGTAGGGGAAGGAGTCGCGCCCGCTCAACGAGAAAACGCCACGCAATATGCACCGCAAAAACAGCTCAGGGCGATAGGAATGCACTCCCATCCTTTGTATGAATGCACACAACGCCAATCTAGCCAACCCCAAATGCGCATCGCGACGCGCCAGCCGCTCAACGCACGCACCGTGATCCACGGTGCTGGTCCAGGGCATCCGCCTTGGACCACACAACCTCCCGACACGACAAGAGGAAGAAGCACGGCTACTCGAGCTCCTCGACCCTGCTCTTCTTAGTCTCAGGGCGGCCCTCGTCATCACCCTCGCCGTCGTCTGCGCCCCTCTTCCTCTTGTCAGCAGATAGTCAACTACTGTGACTCCGCAGAAGCAACTGCCACGCATCAGCCTCTAGTGCACATCAGACATGGATCGCAACAGTACCCCTTGGACAGACTCGTCCGTCTGGTCGGCGGCGAGGAGCTTGGGGCTGGCGCCGGCCGCGGGGCCGCGCTCGGTGAAGCCGCGGCTCTCGAGCTGGGGGCGTTTCGATGGCGTGGGAGCGGGGGATGTAGAGGGCGCGCCGAGCTGGGGCGTGCTGAGGTTGTCTTTGGAGTGCGAGGCGTCGTATAGACCGCCACCCATTGTGGCGCATCGCAGGATGGTCTGGATGAGCTGGTTCTGGCGGAGGGGCTTGGAGAGGTAGTCCTGCTGCTGTTAGTGTCTTGGAGGATGATGTCGTGTGGGATTGACTCACGTCCATCTGTGCTGCGAGGCACTTTTCACGGTCGCCGACCATGGCGTGAGCCGTAAGCGCAATGATTGCTGTCGACGGAATGCCGTTTTCGCGTTCCCACTCGCGGATCTTGGATGTAGCCTCGAAACCACCCATGACAGGCATCTGCACATCCATGAGAACGCAGTCGTAGCGCTTCTTCTGAATGTGCTCAAACGCCTCAAGACCGTTGTTGGCCACCGTGACCCTGTGGTGGTACTTCTCCAGAATGCGGACCGCAAGCTTCTGGTTGACAGCGTTGTCTTCAGCAAGTAGGATGTTAAACGACTTGGAGTGATCAGAGACCAGAGGTGCGGCACGTCCGTCGAGAGCCGGAATCAGTGCATTACCCAAGTCGATCGGTAGACACGGGGTGGTCATGTAGCTGGAAATACCATTCTCCAGGGCAGACCTGAGGCTTATCGCTACATGTGGTGTGAGCATGACAAGCGGGATGTACTTGAAGCGGTCCTCGCCCCTCAGCTCTCGTGCGGTAGCGTCGTTGTCGACAATGACGCAATCATAAGCAATGTTAGTCCTCTTGTCCGATGCCGGCACTTCTTCGACGGAGCCGACGACCATGGGGACGAGGTTGAGGGTCTTGAGGTGCGAGACGACTTCTTCGGAGAAGTTGGTGTGGCCCTGGTCAATGAAGATGACAGTGTGGCCGTTGTACGCCCGGAGGTTCGGCTGGATGGCGCTGGTGTCCGGGTTTCCGAGGCGAACTCTGCAGGTGAAATAGAAGACACTGCCCTTGCCAAAGTCGGACTCGACCCACATGCGACCACCCATGAGCGTTACCAGACGCTTTGAAATGGACAATCCAAGACCAGTACCGCCGAACTTCCTGGTTGTCGAACCATCGGCTTGCTGGAAGGTGTCGAAAATCAAGTTGAGCTTGTCGCCGCGGATTCCTATGCCAGTGTCGGAGACTGCAAACTGGAAGACGTATTGGTCCGGGCCGCATTCCTGCTCCCGCGCCATGCTGATGGCAACCTTGACCTCTCCACGCTCAGTAAACTTGATTGCGTTTCCCACCAGGTTCAAGATGATCTGCCTCAGCCTGAAAGAGTCACCGACAACGTAGTCCGGTACCGTGAAGGAAACGTCGTAGGCCAGGTTCAGCTTGCGCTCGTTTGCCCTCGAGGCCAGGGACTTGAGTGCGTTGAAAATGGTGCCACGAATCGAGAAGGGGATCTCCTCCATGACCATGCGGTTTGCCTCAATCTTGGAGATGTCGAGGATGTCGTCAATGATGGTCAAGAGCTGACCAGCCAAGTTGTGGACGATGGTCAACATCTCCCGCTGAGCATGTGTAAGGTCGGTGTCGAGCGTCAGCTGTGTCATACCAATGATACCGTTCATGGGTGTCCGGATCTCGTGGGACATGTTGGCGAGGAACTCGGACTTGGTCTTGTTGGCCAGCTCGGCGGCCTCCCTCGCAGCTGTGTTCCTCTGGATGGACTCCCGCAAGCTGGACACCATCTGGTTGATCTTCCGCTTCAGCTCGTCCATCTCGCCAGATGCCTCGACTGTGATCTGCGTGAACTTGCCCTCCATGGCAGCGTTGGTGATGTCGCCAAAAGCGCGCACCTGCGAAGTCAAATTCTGGGCCATTGTGTTGACGTCGGTGGTGATCTCCTTCCATCGACCGTCAATGTCCCGGATGTCGGCTTGACCACCCATCTTTCCGTCGACACCGACGTCGCGGGCTACGCGCTTCACGGCCAGCGACCACTCGTCAAGTCTCATGACCATGTCGTTGATGGTGTCCTTTAGCAGGCGAATCTCTCCTTCGGCATCGACGTGCACTCTCCTGCTCATATCGCCCTTGGCAATAGCCTGTGTGACTTCCGAGATACTTCGTACCTGCAACGTCAGGTTCTGCGCCATCGTGTTGACGTTGTTTGTGAGGTCCTTCCATTTTCCTTCAACGTTGTCGACCTGCGCTTGTCCGCCAAGGATGCCGTCGGTTCCGACTTCACGAGCGACCTTGCTGACTTCCTGGGCGAATGTGTTCAGGCGGTCCACCATGGTGTTGATGGTGATCTTCAGAGACAGAATCTCACCCTGGACCTCGGCCTTGACCTTGCGACTGAGGTCTCCTCTTGCTACGGCTGTTGTGACTTCGGCAATCTCTCGTACCTGTGTGGTTAGATTCATGGCCATGCCGTTCACATTCTCGGTCAGGTCTTTCCAGGTTCCCTCGACTCCGTGGACCGTAGCCTGGCCACCCAGTCTACCTTCAGATCCGACCTCTCTCGCGATTTTCGTGACTTCGTGCGCAAATTGCTGCAGCTGGTCAACCATGCGGTTGATGGTGTTCTTGAGTTCCAAAATCTCGCCCTTGCACTCGGCCTCAACCTTCCGAGTGAGGTTACCTTGTGCGACGGCCGTTGTCACTTGAGCAATGTCCCGCACTTGGGTTGTGAGGTTCTGCGCCATGGCGTTCACGTTGACAGTCAGCTCGTTCCACATGCCCTTAACACCAGCGATTTCGGCCTGACCACCGAGCTTTCCTTCGGTACCGACGTCTCTGGCGACTTTCGTGACCTCTGTCGCAAATGACTGCAGCTGGTCCACCATGGTGTTGATCGTCTGCTGGAGCTGGAGGATTTCTCCCCTCGCCGGACGCTCAATCTTTCTGCTCAAGTCGCCGTGGGCGACAGCGGTCGTGACAACGGCGATTTCTCGCACCTGCTCGGTAAGGTTCTTGGCCATATCGTTGACTGCTCGGGTGTCAGCAAACGGCCCGATTGGCGACTACGGCCCAAACAACTTACCAGAGTCGGTCAACTCTGCCCAGATACCATCGACGCCTGGCAGGTTTGCCTGGCCACCAAGTCGGCCCTCGGTTCCGACCTCTCGGGCCAGGAAGGTGACTTGACTGGCAAACTCCTGCAGCTGGTCCACCATGGTGTTGATGGTGCGCTTGAAAAGGGTGATTTCAGGGTCCATTTCCTTAGCGTGGATCAAAACCTTCTTGCTCAGGTCGCCCATAGCGACAGCTGTGACAATGGCGCCAATCTCGCGCAGGGCCTTTTGGAAAGCCAAGTTGGCCTGCTGGTGCTTGCCGAGCTCGCGCTTCAGGGCGCCAATGTCCTCGATGCCGTGCTCAAAGACCATGTTCTGGTTGCTCAGCTGCTTGTTGACCTCGGCGCTCAGGTTGTCAATGTGCTCGCGCTGGTTCTTGATCTGGTCGGCCTGCTTGTTCAGGTGGTCGCGCAGGTAGTTGAGCTGCTCCTCGGTGAGGGCAGCGGCGGGCTCCTGGTCGTCGTCGCCGTTGCTCTCCTTGGCAGCGAGCCAGTTGCTGACCCAGAGCGCGCGCTGCTCCCTGGTCGAGCCGCGACGGTCGTATGGCACGCTGGGCTTGGCAAAGGGCCCCGCTGGTGTGTAGACGAGGCCCTCTTCGGCAGGCTCACCGGCGGGGGTCATGGGCAGGGCGCCCGAGTTGGCGGCAGCATTGCTCTGGTGCTCGAGGAAGTCTATGCGCGCGCACAGCGCAGCCATCTCGCGCTGGAGGGCGGCCTTGGCGTCGCAGTCGGGGCCGGGCAGGTCGATGGCACTTGCGGCGAAGCGCACGCCGTTGGCGGCGATCTGGGCCTTGAACGAAGCATCGCGGGCGGGGTCGTGGGCTCTCGCCAGGTTCTTGATGTAGTCGGCGAGCCCGGAGTAGGTTTCGGCAGCCATGGCTGCGGGCAGGGAGCGGGTGTCGGCGGGCTATGTGTGTAGCATCGAGGACGGGGCGGGACGGGCGCGAGCAGCCTCGGGGCTCGCCGCAAGGAGTGCAGGGGGCAGCGGGAGGCGAGAAGCGGCCGGGAGAGCGCAGAGAGACTGTTCGCGAGACGACGAGTTTGGGGCACTGGCAGTCGACGAGGCGGTCCCCGCTGTGAAGGGTGCTGGCGACGAGGGGAGGGCTGTCACGTTACTGACGGTCCCGCGGGAGTGCAACGCGCGAGGTGCAGTCTTCGCGGAAGCAGTTCGCGGTGCAGTCTTCGCGGTGCAGTCTTCGCGGAAACAGGGCGCAGCAGCAGAAGGAGCGGAGAGGAGAAGAGACACAGCACCGGCTCACAGCAGGCTTGAACAAGAGAGCCTTGCTCCGTGATAAAAGATCGCCGAGAGAGAAGACCACCTGCCCTCGCTACGCTCTGCTAGCCTCCAAATGACAGGCGTTAGGGAGGTCACCCCTGGTCTCCACCGCTTGCACGGCTGCCCGTGCCTGCTCGCTGGCCGCAGTCGCCGGCATCTATCCTGCTGCCAGACGATCTTGCTGCCAGACGATCTTGCTGCCAGACGATCTTGCTGCCAGACAAGCCGCCGGCGCACGTCGAGCACTCGGCGTACGTTGGAGGGTTGCAGACTGCAGTGCTGGAGCCCCGTCTGCCGCCGTCGGCTTCCCAAACAGTGAGCTCTCTGACTAGGTAGGTATTCTCTCGTCCGCTGTTTGGGCGGTGCCCACGCCGCGGAGGAGCGCACGTCAAGTCATGTGGCTGCGCACGCAGATTCCACGCGCAGCGGACTCTGTAAAATGAGCATCACTGCCCTCCCAGCATAACCCTCGCCGACACGTCTCAATAGCAGGACCGTCTCTGTCGACGAGGAACATGCTTTGACGGCGAACACGAAGCACCCAGTAGTAGTGACAGCGAACACGATCTGACGCTCCATCCTCGCACCCAGGGCGTCGAATAGGGGTAATCCGTCGCCACACGTCTGCTCCCGGCGTGCACGCTGATACGACTTTTTTGCAGAAGTGGAAACCATGGCACCAGGGCGGCAGCCCAGGGTCTCCGATTGCGAGCCCTGTTCGCCGGATCCGGACAAGCTCTCGTGTGATGAACCGCATTTCTCGTTTCGTTCCGGACGGCATCGAATTTCCACCTTGCCCATGTGCGCAGCCACTGTCGTCTGCAGCGGCTTGCTTAGCAGAGCAGGAGCAGGACCTCATTTCCCTCATTTCCCTCATCTCCCGCATCTCCCCCATCTCGCCCGTCTCCCCAGCAAGCCGCTGACGCAGTGTCGCTGGCCTGCTGGTTTGATCGTCCCTCGCACGGCGCAAAGTCGTGTCGCTGCAGCGTACCAGTATCTATCGGACCGCCGCTGCTTAAGATTTCGCGGGGCTGCCAACGGGCTCGCAGCGAGCTCGTCGCAGGCCAATGGGCGTGCACCGGGCGCGCGAAGCTAGACGACTGCCCCACTACTGCGATCTTCACTCACAACTCACTCTTGACCGTTATCTTGGGCTCACGTCCGCGTGGATTCAGGGTCCTACAGGTAGCGTTTCACAAGGCCGAGATGGGCAGCTCTTCGGCAGCGCGCTTTCGCAGGGTGCGAGGAGCGGATGGATCATTCCTGAGACGTGAGCGGATGAATCATTCCTGGGACGTGAGCGGATGAATCATTCCTGGGACGTGAGCGGATGACTAATTCCTGAGACGTGAGCGGATGACTAATTCCTGGGACGTGAGCGGATGAACAATTCCTGAGACGTGAGCGGATGAACAATTCCTGGGACGTGAGCGGATGAACAATTCCTGGGACGTGTGAGCCTGCACTCCAAGCTTGCGCGTCGTCATGCTCGATACCCTGCAGTCAATGGCGATGTTGAGATTATGCATTACTACTAGTTTACTGCTACGACCGACGCTATCTGAGCTTCTTCGCGTGCGCCACCAAGCTCTCGATGACCTGCTCGAAGGCGTCTTTGTCGCCCAGTGCGCTTTCCAGCTGTTTCTGCCAGTACTCAAACACCTGCTCTGCTCGTGTCCGCAGGCCCTTTAGGTTTTCGACGTGTTTTTCCAACTCGTCGTCTGTCAAGTTTAGCAACGCTGCCTCGGTCGTTGCGCACAGCATCGAGGTTGCACTGAGATCCAGCTCTGGAGGCGGGGGCCGTCCTTTCCGTGGCCGTTCTGACTTTGACTTTGACGAGTCGACGGATGTGTTTGAAGTATTCTCCTTCTTGACGCGGTCAAGCGCATTGCTGCGGCCATCGGATGACGGACGGGGGGACCTGTCGCCGGGGATGTTGATGGAGGGAAGGATGAGCTTCTTCTGTTTCGATGCAGGCAAGATCTCGTCGAGATCGACCGGTACCCCAAGCGAGACAAGGAACAGCCGCCGTATCCTCGACCTGACCCAGTCAGGCGGTTGTAGGGGTGGGGGCGCCACTAGTTGTGTCCATAGCGAATGGCTTCGCTCAGAGTGGAAGATTGACCGAGTGTCTTCGCTGATGGATATGCTGGGAACGTCTTGCGGGGCAGGGTATATTCCGTCGAGGTAGGGCTGTGTTGCTTCATGGATGGCATCCAGGGAGGTGAGTTGGGCAAAGTCGAGAACAGGCTGTTGAATCCAAGGTCAGTCGACACATCACCGCAACATGCTTCAGCAGGAGACATGGGCCGGGTTGGGCTGGGTCTGGGGCACTTACGGGGCCTGGTGGTGTTTGTGGAGGGGCGGGTACGGGATTTTGATTTTGGGGGCTGTCAAATGTAGTCTCTGCCTGTTCCTCGCCTTGCTGAAACCCATCGTCGAAGTCCCCAAAGTCGTCGTCGCCTTCGCCGCCCTCTTCGAATTCGTCAAACTCGCCGAAACCATCGTCGTCGTCGTCGTCGTCGTTGTCGTCGTCGTTGTCGTCGTCGTTGTCGTCGTCGTTGTCGTCGTCGTCGTCGTCGTCACTGTCGACTTTGTCTTCGCCGTCGCCGTCGTCACGGTCGACTTTGTCTTCGTCGCCGTTCATTGGGGACCTGTCAATGGAGGTTGTTGGCGATCCTTCTTCCGTCAACGGCACGCAGGGAGGCACCCGAGATATGCCTTACGTACCTAGGTTGTCCCGCTTGGGGGGCTCAGGCACCTTGACAATGACATCAGGCGCAGCATCGGCGCGGCGCTGGTCAAAGGCAAGCGTTCCGGGCACTTCACCGTGGGCGGGCTGGTCATCCACCCTCTCCACGACCATCTTTGGGACGGGCGTGCCTCCGGGGGTGAGCGGTCGATCGTTTACGCTCACTCGCGAGGCACTGCGGCTTCGCTGACCGTCCGGCACAATCTCAACTTCGTCTGGTACGGCGTCCTGTGTCCGCATCTTGTACGCAGCGGTGCCGGGGACCTCGCCATGAGCAGGCTCGTCGTCTACACGCTCGACTCGAGTAATGGGAATTGGCGATGTTGCCTCGGCCCTGCTCTGCTCAAGACTCTTGCTCAGGCTCTTTTCGTGTACCCTGCCCTCGGACGCATCTGAAAAGTGTTCGTTGTCGGAGTCGACTGCGGCTACCGTCAGAAGTGAGTTGAGACGATCGATCTGTCCTGACGCACCAAGCTCCTTTGCACCAGGATCCTCGAGCTCGACGCTCTTACGGGGCGGTGCAAGCTCGTCGGCCATGAAGGCGATTCTATACGTCCGGCTGTGCTTGACGAGTGCGGGAGGTGGGGAGCGGTCCTAGTGTGCAGTAGGTGTAGAAAGCCTGCAGGAAGAGGGACGAGGAATCGACGAGGAATCGACGAGGCCAAGGGCGGTGGGCAGAAAGTACCGAGTGCTGCGCCTCGCTCTTGTGCATGCGATAACTCGTCGTCGCCGGTTCCAGGCACGCGGGGGATTGGAGCGCTCGAGACCTGGGCCCGCTGTAGCTCAGCTGGATCAACGTATCACCGGGAAGCAGCGGCGCGCGGCCCATGCAGCTGTCTGCCCGACTTTTGGCGGCTGCGACACCGACGCGCCTGTGAAAGACGCGGAGCATTATTTGCGCAAGCCTTCACTGCTCTCGCTGCTCTCGCTGCTCTCGCTGCACCCGCTACGCTCTGCGCGCCCTGGCCCGTCTGATCTTCTTTGTCGCGTCCAGCCCGCTGCGCCAATTGCGCACCGTACACGGCTTTGCGCCAAAGTAAACAGCCACCGACACCAGCCAACACCCGCCCGACACCAGCCAACACCCGCCCGACACCCCGGCCTACGCTCTGCGCAGTCGCCATCTCCGACCGCAACCATGTCCGGCTTCACATTCGGACAGCCAGCCGGCAGCAACGCCAGCAGCGGCGCACCAAAGCCTGCAGGCGGACTGTTTGGCGGCGCAGGCACCACCTCGGGCGCTGCATCGCCCTCCCTCTTTGGCGGCGCGACCGGTGGATCGAGCACACCGGGCGGAGGACTGTTTGGCGGCGGAGGAGCCAGCTCTGGCGGCGCAGGGCTTTTCGGCGGAGGCGCGTCCGGCACCGCGGCTGCCAGCAAGCCTGCTGGAGGTCTCTTTGGCGGCGGAGCCACAGCTGGCGCGTCCTCGACCCCCAGCTTTGGCTTCGGCTCGGCAGCAAAGCCTGGCGATGCGGCGAAGCCGTCCATGTTTGGAGGCGCTTCGACTGGTGGTGCAGCGCCAGCTGCTTCTGCGGCCCCAACCCCGTCGTTTGGATTCGGTGGAGCAGCAGGTGCGTCTTGTCACTGGTGGATTCATGTGCATGCTAACAACGCGCGACAGGCTCTTCGACACCCGCTGCCACACCCGCCGCTACACCCGCTCCTAACAAGACCTTTGCCCTCCCCTCGACTACGCCCGCCGGCCCGCCCCCAGGCCCCGGCCTGTTTGGACAGACGCCCGCGCCCGCATCTGCTTTCTCTCTCGGCGGGCAGGGCAACCAGACAGGCGGTACCCCTGGCGGGGGCTTGTTTGGTGGAAACGCTGCCTCGAAGCCTGCGGCACCGCCATCCGGCACGACGTCGAGCTTGTTCGGAGCCACGCCTGCGGGCGCGTCCACCACGCCCACAACCGGCCTGTTTGGCGGTGCAGCTGGCGCAAGCGATGCGAAAAAGAGTGCAGCTCCCTCGACCCCGGGTCTCTTCTCGGGTGCCGCTCCTGCGCAAGAGACGCCCAAGCCTGCAGGAGGCTTGTTCGGTGGAGGCGGTCTCTCCAGCACACCCGCGAGCAAGCCGCCCGCGTTCAGTCTCGGAGGGTCCACACCTGCAACGCAGCCGGCCGCTTCGCAGCCAGCTGCAACGCCTTCGCTGGGAGGCTTCAGCCTGGGTGGCGGAGACAAGGGCAAGCCCGCTGCTTCCTCGGCAGCACCGACACCCAGCCTGTTTGGCGCTGCAGGATCCTCTACACCTGCGTCGCTCTTCAGGAAAGAAGAGGGAGCCAGTACCCCAACATCTGCCACGCCCGCAAGCGGAGCCGCGGCCACTGCCGCGAGCGGCGCGAGCACAGCTGCAACAAGCGGCGCTCCTTTGTTGTTTGGCGCCGCTGGTACAGGCTCCGCGACGCCAGCCTCTTCTGCAGCACCTGCGGCAGGTGCGACAGCGGGCCTTTTCGGTGGTCTTGGAGGAGCAAGCTCAACACCAGCCTCGACTTCTGCTCAGCCCACATCCACACTCGGCGCTACACCCGCACCCTCGGGCGACGCAGCCAAGAGCGGACTCGCCAACTCTACCGCTGGCCCAGCGCCGTCAGCACAGTCACGTCTCAAGAACAAGTCGATGGATGAGATCATAACGCGATGGGCCGCTGACTTGTCCAAGTACCAGAAGGAATTCCAGTCCCAAGCCGAGACTGTGGCTCAGTGGGACCGAGCACTGGTCGAGAACTCGGACAAGGTCCGTCAGCTGTACTCCAAGACTTTCCAGGCCGAGCGCGACGCTGCCGAGGTCGAGAGGCAGCTGACCATGATGGAGGAGAACCAACAGGAGCTCGACTCGTACCTCGACCGCTACGAAAAGGAGATTGAGAACCTCATGAAGATGCACGGTGTCTCGGGCAGGTCTGACGGTCTGCGTGGCCCGGACCAGGAGCGTGAGAAGACATACAAGCTCGCCGAGAAGCTGCAAGACCGCCTCAATGAGCTGAACAAGGACCTCACGGAGATGATTGAGGAGATCAACACCACGTCCCAGACACTCAGCAAGACGGGCAAGCCCGACGATCCTGTAAGCACCACCTCTCTGACAACTGATCACGAACCCTGGCTGACACCGAACAGCTCACCAAGGTCGTCCGCGTCCTCAACACCCAGCTCTCACAGCTCCAGCTCATCGACTCCGGCGCATCGCAGTTGCAGGAGAAGATCAACAAGGCGCAGAAGGAGAGTCGCGCCGTCGGCGCCAATGGATGGAACGGTCTCGGCACAGACCCGACGGACGACTTCTACAGGAGCTTCCGTGGCAACCGTGTGGAGAGGTATGGCGGTCATGCGTAGACGTTGTGATGCAGGCACGATGTTGGATGGAGGGATTGAATGCATGAACGGGCGTTCTTTGGCGTACATACCGAGACTCGGAAACCTCTGATCCATCGAACTGGACTTTACGAATGCTAGCAGTTCAGATGCCGGGTTGGCTTCGTTGCTGGCTCGTAAAGTCAGAGATGGGTGCATGCGCCTTCCCATATGTAGCTAGACTCAAAGAATGACGCGCCAGCGAGGAGCTCGAGCTTCGCGACTGAAGATGCAAGAGCAGAGCAACGAACAAAAGCCTCGACTTGACCTGTCCTCTCCCGCTCCAGATCGCTGCGTACGCGCAATATGACAAGTCTAGACGACCTGTTCAAAAGCCACGCTGGCACGAAACGCAAGTTCGAGAACCCCATCGAGGCCGATCCGTCGCAAGCGTACAAAACCGTGAAACTGCAAGGGAATGACGACGTCAAGCAGTCGGCGCAAGCAGAGGACGAAGAGGACGATGATGAGGCTGGTCCTGCGCTGCCGCCAGACTTGGAGGACGAGGGGCCTGGCGACGACGAGGAAGGGAGATTCTTTGGCGGCGGGCTGGACGAGAATGCGAAAGACGCCATGGACTTCCTGGACGCACAAGACGGAGAAGACACGATGAGGGAGGAGAAGTACGACGCGGCGTGGGTGCGCAAACTTGCGCGCGACTTCGAGAAGAAGGTCAACAAGAATGCTTCGCTGCGCGCAAAGTACGAGAGCGATCCTACAAAGTTCATGGAGTCGGAGGGCGATTTGGACGACGGGACAAAGGATCTCAGCATTCTTTCCGAGCATGCAGAGCTGTACGAGGAGTTTGCGACGAGCACAGCAGCGGCGAAGCTGGTCGAGCTGCTGGCGCACGAGAACACAGACATTGCGATTGGCGCAACGGGGATCATATCAGAGCTCACAGACGAGGATGTGGCGGCAGAACAGGAGCAATGGGACGCGCTGGTCGCAGCCTTCTTGGAAGCCGATTTGCTCAGCTTGCTCATCTCGAACTTCTCGCGCTTCGACGAAGCCGACTCGACCGATGCTTCTGGTGTATACCACTCTCTCAGCGTCATCGAGAACCTCCTGTCGCAGCCCTCGAATACAGATATGATAGGGAAGGAGAAGGCGCTTCTTGCATGGCTGCTCGAGCGCATACAAAAACCCGAAAAGCCCACCACACAGAACAAGCAATACGCCTCCGAGATCCTCTCCATCCTCACGCAATCCTCGCGGCCAAACCGAAATATCGTCGCCGAAGCCAACGGAGTCGAAGTCCTCCTCACCAGCCTCGCGCCCTACCGACGAGACGACCCCGAAAAGGACAGCGACGAGGAGGAATACATGGAAAACCTCTTCGGCGTGCTGACCTCGGTAGTCGAAGAGCCTATCGGCAAGGCCAAATTTCTCGAAGCCGAGGGCACAGAGCTCTGTCTCCTCCTCGTGCGCGACGGCAAGACAAGCAAAAACCGCGCCCTCAAAGTGCTAGACCACGCGTGTGGCTACGCAGAAGCACCGGCACAAGACGGGGCCAGCGCAGACGGAGCCACACAGCCACACATTGCCGTGTGTGAGAAGCTCGTCGAAGCGCGCGGCTTAAAACCGCTCTTCAGCACATTCATGAAAACGAAGCGTCCCGACCCGGTCCAAACAGAACACATCCTCGCCCTCTTCTCTTCCCTGCTACGCAGCCTCCCAGGGAACAGCGACGCGCGCTTCCGCCTGCTCGCCAAGTTCCTCGAAAACGAGTACGCCAAGATCACAAAGCTCCTCGCCCTGCGCCGCGACTACTCCACGCGCCTCGCGGCCTTCGACCACTCCCTCGAAAGTCGCAAGTCCGGACTGACTCGGGAAGAGAGGGCGGAGATGGAGCTCGAAAACATCCCGCTCAGACTGAGCGAGGGCTTGTACGCGCTGCAGCGCATCGACGCCACGTTGGCATGGCTCGTGGCCGAGGACGATGGCGCCAAGGCGGCTATCGTCAAGGGCCTTGCGGAGACTGATGAGTCGCTGGAGGGCGTCAAGGGGACGCTGAAGGCGCAGCTCGATGGAGCGCTGGAGGTTGAGGCTGCGGAGCGCGAAGTGCTGGAGGCGCTCGTTGGGTTCTTGGACTAGGTGTTGCGCGGATTCTGCCGCTGCGTCTGCACGTGGATATCACGCGTGGATGGGCTGCCGTGTTGGAACAGCGGGGCGGCGTCGAGGTTCTGTTCACGAGATGCGGGATGCTGTGAGCTATTTTATGGCAGGACGGTCTGGTCGCTTTGGATGGTTCCCTGGCTCTTTGCTCGCACACGGCTAGTGTCACAGCAATACGCACAATGCGCACACCATTGCGATGCATGCAAGGTCCATGTAGCCGCCTGTCTTTATCCTGAGAGGCACACGAACGGCCACTCTCTGCAGAACTGGTGACACGTCGAGACGACGCAACGACCCACGAACCTCGGAGCTGGAATAGGCAGATTAACCGACGCGGACTCGGAAACAGTAATTGTTATTTGCAGATTGCAAAAGCTAAGATGGTAGAATGACATCAGGGAGGATCTTGGTAAAAGCGCTTGTGTTAAGGAATGTGACTCGGCGCGAGAGTATAACCACGGCTATAGAACCTGACCTACAATTCAACAACACCTCTTCCTCCAATGTACAGTCCTCAGCAAACCCACCGCGGACCAGCTTCAAAGCGCCTGACACCCATCTTCTTGACGCCCATCTTCTTGACGCCCATCTTCTTAACATCCTCCGTGCACTCTCTACAGAGCCGGATGCTGAGCCTGCGCTACCTCTCCAGAAGCCCTCCCGACTCCTTCCCAGCTAAAACTTGACCAACTTCCACCCCACATGCAGCGCCCTGCTCCAAACAAACAAGCCCGACGAGATGACATAGCAAACAATCGTCCAGATAACAACGCCCCAGTACGCACCCCCAGCCGTGCGGCCCAGAATGCTGCCCGCAATGGGGATCCCCGTCAGCGTGCTGAAGCTCACAACCGTGTAACACGTCGCATAGTAGCGTCCATACTGGCGCGTGTCGCAAAGCTGGCCGACGCACACGGGCGTCAGGCTGATATTCGAGCCCGACGCGAACCCGAAGATGACCGCGTACGTGATCGAAAGCGCCTTGATCGTCGTCGCCGTCGCAGGGGTGGCGGGCGTCAAAAGCGCAGCGGGCAGCCACAGCGTCAGCGATGTCGCGCCGCATACCGCCAGCGCGCCGATCATGCAGTTGAACCGCCCCAGCTTGTCGGCTAGTAGGCCCGGTACCCAGCGCCCCAGGCACGAGCCCGCGTTGAAGATGGCGATGAGCTGGTACGAGAAGGCGCGCGACATTGCGCCGCTCGACGACGCGAAGGTCGTGAGGTACGTGATGGGCACGAAGAGCGCCCATTCCATCAGGAAGATGGCAATGGTCAGCAGGAGGTAGGATTTATCGCGGAAGATGCGGAAATCGGGTAGGACAGACTGGCCCGGTCGGGGGGGCAGGCGGGATTTGATGAGCACGCAGGCGACGATGCAGCAGAAGACGTCGACGAACGCGATGATGCGGGTTGCCCACGCAAAGCCGAGTTTGGGGAGCAGCTGCTGCAGCGCCAGTGGGAAAATGACGCCTCCTAGAGAACCCCCCGCGGCAGCGATGCCTGTGGCGTTTCCCCGCTTCACGTAGAAGAAGTGGCTCGCCGCTGCGAAAGCAGGTGTGAAGATCAGACTGCTGCCGAGGCCGCCCAGGACCCCGAAGACCAGGAAGAAATGCCAGTACAGCGTGCAGATTCCGAGCAGGAACATGGAGAGACACAGCAAGATGCTGCCAGCGAGCACCAGCAGCCTGGGGCCGTGTGCATCGAAGATGGGGCCGATCTGCAGGCCGCCGAAGAAGGCGAGGAAGATGTACATGGAAAATATCCACGAGATGGTGCTTTCGCTGTAGCCCTGAAGCTGGTGCTCGGACAGATAGCTGTGGTACACACCGACCGAGTTCATCATGCCCAGCGCTGCCAGAAGGCCCATGAAGGATCCTAGGATGCAGAGCCAGGCTTCCCAGCCTCCCTCGGGATACGTGACTTCGTCCTGAGACGCTAAAGATGGGTTCTCTTCGTCGGAAGAGGCGCCTCGGTGTCCTTCATTCTGCACCTTCTCCCGTGCCGGGGCATCGACAGAGCGAGTTCGGGCACTGCGGCATCTTGATAGAGAATCGGCTGGCGGGATAGTAAATTCCGCGGCAGGATAAGAATTGACGGGTTCGAGTGGATAATTGTCTGAGATTGGTCCTGGCGTGCTGCCTTTGGGTTCTCCGCTCATTCAGAGTGGTCTGGATATAACTGCAAGAGCAATAAGTGACGTATTTCGAAACTTCGTCGTGTTCGGAAGTAGTGGCTATTGTCGATGACGATGTCCGCTGCGATGGTGTCACAAGTCGTTGTGCACTTATTCAGTCGCTTATATCCGTGGATATCCTCCCCGAGAGGTGTGGTATTCCTATGGACGTAGTTCCCGAAAAACTCGGTGCTGCAGAGCGCAGAGAAAACGTGAGGGGGCGTGGCTTAAATACGGCCAATGCTTTCAGCCGTTGCCGCTTGAAGCTCCCGCTAAGGGAATCCGAGTTCTCAGTTCACGTACAAAAGCTGACCACCAACAGGACTTATGCAGTCACAAGCTCCCCCACATATACATAGGGCGCGAAACCGCGGAGTTGCCCGCTTGAAGCGCAATAAGCGACGGAAAAGGGTGGCGATGCGGTATCGGAGCAACTTCTTCGCAACGACACTCCTTCCGAGCGCGCGTGTGATTGGACAATGGAGCCAAATACCAAGACGTCGTTACATAAATTGCGACGGCTATACAGAGACCACAGTCGGAGCGAATGGTGCTAGATGGCGTAGAAAGTAGGCCATTGGAGGTGCAGATTGGTGTTGAATTGGTATTACGTTTGTGTTCCAGATGCAGACGCTCAAGAATCGTCAACAAAGCCCCGAGTATAGCAAAACGCCCAGTGTTTTTCGAAGTTCGGTGTCGTCATCCTCAGACATCTTTTTCGCGGGATTTCCTATCACTTCGAGTATTGCGCTTGCATTCTTGCGTGGCCAAACGTGACCAAGAAGGTACTCAGCAGCCTGAACTGTCGTTGCTCGGTCCGAAGCACCTGCAGAGATGGCATACCAGAACAATGTCGGTGTGGGAGTATGAGGGCGCTGAATCGAGGTTGTATCGTAAACAGAGTCGTGGCGTGTAGGATTCTCATTGCTCGTCATAAAAGGCATTGCAGACATCTGGCTGACTCGAGATGTAGGTAAATCGTCAGATTTCGAGATGCTGTATTCTGCAGGCTGAGTTAGCTGTGTTCATCCATCTGCCAACGTGACCTTACGGAGAACCTCAAGGAGGAGAACAGTCTCATTCACGTTCGAGGAGCCAGTTTCGAGGATGTCGTGGCTAGGATTCGACGCGCAGTACTGCGTTGCCATATGAAGAAGAAGCCAGGCGCCCCGGAATTCCCAGCGGTCCTCAAGCGGCAGATCGTGCTCCCTAACGGTAAACAGCTGTTTGAGCTTACTGCTGAGGACGCTGTACAACGTACTGGGGACCTCCAGGCTCGTCTGAGAAACTTCGATGGGTAGCGTCAACTCGCTCGGCGGACATGAAGACGGCGGTGTGGAAGGCGCAGAGGTCGGTGACGTGACGTCGTGGAGGTGTTTGGTGTCGACTGGGGGCTCAATGCCGACCTCATCTTGAGAGGGGGAGGCAAGTGCAGGTGCGTCTGTGGGGCTCGATAAGACGGCACGCAGTTTTTTGGCGTAGCTGGTAGCGAGATTTTTGTACGTCCAGCGCATACTGTATGGAGCAGGACCCATTGTATTACTGGTATGAGGACAGTGGTTCTGAAGATTTTTATGATGAGTGGTGTCGGACGCAGGCGGCGTATCGCAGGGGTCAGTAGAATGCAGTTGTTGTGTTCAGTGGCTATGACATTTATTGCAATTTAGAGGACGGCGGGTGTTTGAAGCCGTTAAGGCGGTTTGGTGTAAGATAAATTACGAGAATTGATGGAGATTACTGCGAACGGTGCAGTGTAGACCCTTGCTCCCACAGTGTTCTTTCCTTCACTTCATCACTTCACTTCCTGACAGAAGCAACCTGAGAATCTCCCAGGTGACAGTACCATACTGACGGTAACCTTATGGTGACTTAATAACGAAAGCCGGAGCGCGATTGCTTCAAACAGTTACAGCTTCCACTCCAGTGGTTTCTCGATCTCTAACACGGCATCTTCCATCCACCCACCAAAGCCCCACGGCTTAACGTCTTTGGGCCAGTACCTCTCCTGCTCATCGCCCTCCACACCAGCTTCCAAGAGTTCAACCCAGCATCCCCTCGCTCTCTGCACGTTGCCACCAATATCAAACGCGCACCATCTGTCCGTGCCCGCCGCAACTGCGATCTCATTCTTCGGGCTGATATCATACGCATCAATCGTCACTCCTCTTTCCTGATCACCAAGCTCCACGGCAACAGCTCCCTTATGCCCCGCCGGCTCTGGAACAGGCGGCTGGACATGCTTCATACTGATCGGCACCCAGCTCATATTCACAGGCACAGGCGGCACCCACCTCCACGGTGTTAACTTACATGCAAAGAACGGCTGCACACCGTCGCCATCTTCAGAGCCGGGAGGGAACACCTTGACAGTGAGATCCTGGGGCGGCGAGGCGCCGGCAGGCGTGATAGGAGCAGAGAACGAGAACCGTGCGAGGTGCTTAGGGATGTTCCAGTTCAGACGGCCGTTGTAGGTCGTTGTGCGTTGGGAGACGTATATGCGTGCGATTCTCAGGGCGTTCTTGGGGATCTTGGGTGGACCGGTTGAAGGGTGGGGAACGCTGAAGTTGCCGGGGATGAGCATGAGCTCATCGTAAGGGCCTGGAGAATGTGAGTGACAGAGCCAGTGGTGAGACGAAGATCAGATAATGCATATACTGAGAAGAACGAGATGAGCCAAGGGCATGTGCGCTGGTCGACGAGAAGACTGGAACGATCTACATCTAGACAAGTTGACTTATCCAGATACGCTTCTGTGTGACCACACATGAACGCAGCGCTTGATAACGCAGCAATCGCTGCTGGACTGGCCAGATATCTCTCTTCGAGAATGTCTTTTCTGAGACATTTTGGAAGCATCTGGCAAGTCGCAGGCTCACTCAGTGGGGTAGTCGATAACAATAAAGATCTGAAAGATGACTTGAAACTTGAGAGTGCACAAATGAACCACAGAGATGAAGTTCGTGACATTGAACCAAGGAAAGATCAAGACGCAGAAGAAAGGACCTACCAGCAGGTGTATCAGTATACCTCACAATCATCACCGCACCGAGTCCCCCCTCAAACCGCCCCAGCGCCTCATCCGCCCACGTCTCCTCAAGCCGGTCATACACGCCGTGCGGCAACTCACCCAACTTCAAAAACAGCAAATAGCTCTCAGCCTTCATCGCCCAGGGCGCCGGCGCGCGCTGCACGGGATGTTCTCCGCTCACCATGTTCGGCTAGGTCTTACCCTACACTACAAAGACGCTATAGCAGCGCTAGAAGGCTTCCAGAGAACGTCGGCAGCGGGCGCTAGGACGTGCTGCTTGAACGGGGTAGCGAGTGAGTCGATGACAAAGGCGCTGGAAAATGTTGAGATATGAGAGTATAGGTTAGCGCCCACCGGGCGGGAACGTTGCGCGTGCGTGTGTTTGCCGAATTGTGGCGATGTCGAGGCTCAGCGGCCGATGGCGGGATGGCGTGCGGGCTCGCCGAACTGCTGGGACGACGTGAACGGGTTTTTGTCGTACGAGGAACGTGGAAAACGTGGTCTGGTAAGGTGGGTGGAGGCGAAGTAACGTTGACAAAAGGTGCTTGTAGGGAACATAGGGTGTCAGTTGTGGTGTCAGGTCGACTCGAGCAAGGCTTGTAAGCAGTCAAATGTGGAAGTACCGAGGGAGCATGTGCAAATGCGTCCTGGCAGGTGCGAGCATCAGAAGCTTGGTAGCAATACCTAGGCATTTCCTTGTGATGCACACGCAGCTCGGATGTTCCCCTCCGCGAGACTCAATTCCAAGATGTTGAGAACAAGAGAAGTCTATGTGGAGAACAAAAGAAGTACCTAGCAGTCCGCGCCTGAACGGTAGGCAGTCCACCGCACCCAATCACACCGCAGCGCAGCGAGCGTCCGCCCACAAAGTTTACATTCGACCGCCAAACGCCAATATCAGCCATTTCATGATGATTCCCGTTTCCCCAAGCCCAAAAGCGTATTTTCTCCTGTCCAAGTGGATCTGCATCGTATCCAAGGCTGTTCGCACCTGTCGCTCACAAAGGGCTGCAGACACGGCCCACGGCAGTTCCTCAACACACCGCCTGAGATCTTCTGTGCATGCTTCCATGTGCCCTACCGAAGCCTTCGATCAATAGTGCCAAGTAGCATTGAACCGGTCGGACCCATCTTAGCAGCACGCTTGTTCTGCAAGGCATACGACCTTGACTTCCAGATTGGTGGAAGTCTGCTCTCGAAGCGCCGCTCTTTGATTACTGAGCCCACCCGAGTCTCCTGCGTTCCCGCCGTGCTAGCTCATCTCGAGCCTCAGCCGCTGTGATCCACGATTCGCCCGCCAAGAATGCGGCTCTGCCAACCATCTCGATACCGCCGGTGGTGAGATGCCTCGGGGCATCGTGAGATTGCCAAGTAGCCGGCAGTCATGGTTTAACTGTCCATTCAGAGCGCCCAACCGTGCTTTCGGGGAGTCGCGGCAAAATCAGTGCAGCTGTAGTGCTGCTCCCTCTGTTTCGATGTCGTAAAAGAAGCGCTTAATTGGACGCGATGGCCTGCAAGGGACACGCGACCAGAAACCGTGCTCGACACGCAGCACGAAACGCGGCTCGAGGTGGCACAAGCATCACATGCAGGGGTTTCTCTAGTACGGAGCGGGTCCAACACGTGGGCACGGCCTGTAGGGATCCTGTCAATAGTGCAGCAAGGCGCAATGTGGCGAAGTGGTAGGAAGATGGTTCCGGAAACGTGGTTGATGTACGGGAGGGATCGAGCCCTCAGGGTGGTTGGTAACACTACGAAGGGAAATTGTTGGAGCGGTACGCTGTACTGGTAACATCATCCACAGAAAGCTGCCATCACGTCCCGCAGGTCATGTGCTGGAGTCTGGGAAATGAGCACTTCGGACACGTCGCCAAGTCATCCAGTCGAGGTCCTTCCCACTTTGGCAATGTCAGTGTAAGTCGGGATTGAAGATCACCTCTTCGAGAGGAAGGAGGCTCATATTTGCCAAGTGCTGGGCGGTGAACATACGCATGGAAGACGATGCAAGAGGAAGTTGTCACGACGTAGAGTTGAGTATTAGGAAGTCGACCGTCTCCTGAGATAGGTGACTGATGGAAGACTTCGAGATCTATAGACTTTACTGCTAGGCCAAAGAAGACAGGTAAATATCGTAAGCAGCGTACAGGAGTAGTCCGCCTCGGAACTTTGAACTTTTGTTTTAGTATCCATTAACGCCGCTGCGGATCCTTCCTACTGATCGCCCAAACTGATTGAAACCCAGGGACCATTGGGGATATTCTGCAAAATGAAAGTAAGACAGAGCCGACAGAAACACCATTCTAATGCACATCAGGCCGTGATACCAACCCTGGACTGGTTCAGGGACATGAAGATTGTGACAGCCGTACTGGAATCGAAAGACGTTATACAGAACGTGACAACGTATCCAGAGTAAGGTCGCAGATGCAAGGACGCGAGGCTGCATGCTCGTAGCTTTTGAAGAACCGGAAAATGTCACTGCTACGGTGACATAAATGACAAATCTATGCGTGAAAGGCGCTGTTTGCGTCGCAATCGGGTATTATGAAGTGAAGGTGCAATGCGCCTGCACGAAAGACCAAGCGAAAACGAAGAACCAAGATAGGGCGCAAGCGCTCTAGAACATGGAGGGATCAATGCCACCCATTCCAGCACCTGCAACATTGGCGTTCTGCAGGTTCTGAAGGCTCTGCATGTTTGGTGCAAGCCCCAGCTTCTGTAGCGCAAGCTCGGGGTTGCAGTGAGGAGCGTGAGAGCGGTGGTACTTGAGCCCGTTGAGGTTCTTATATCGCTTGCCACATACTTCGCAGCGATAAGGCTTCTCCTTCTCCATACCGACAGTTCCGGGGTAAGGGATAGAAGTGAGGGGGTCGACAATCGAGAACGTGCCATCGTCATTCTCCTTGAGCTGTTGGTTCTGGTGACCGTGCTGCTTGTGGTACTTCAGACCGTTCTGGTTCTTGTAGGCCTTCTCGCAGCCAATGACCGGACACCTGAAAGGCTTGACCTCCTCGGGGAAGGGGAACTGAGGAATGCTTGCGCCGTTGAGCATTTGCTGCTCGCGAATCCTACGCGCGAGCTCGCTCTGATCAGCGCCACCAAGCTGGTAGTTCTTGAGGGCCGCTTGCAGCTGGGCCTGGTTGAGACCGCCACCTTGCTTGCTGAAGAGGCGCTTGCCAGGCTGGTCGATGGTGCCGTTATTATCAAACGCCGACATGCCGAAGTTGCCGTTGCCAAAGTTCATGTTCATGCCGTTCATGCCGTTCATGCCGTTTATTCCGTTCATGCCGTTCATACCGTTCATACCCATGTCCATGCCCATCATGGGGTTGAAGGTGTTGAAGTCCATGTCGAGCTCAGCTGGTGTGCCAGGGTGCGAGGACTCGGGCGAAGTCAGGTTGTGATTTTGCATAGGCACCGTGCCGAGCGTGGGCGTGTTTACGGAAGAGACGGTGGGATTGTTGTTGAAGTTGAACTGTTGTGAGGCCGAGGGTGTTGAGGGTGTTGATGTCCTCAGACCCTGGTGGTTCTGCATGTTGTTGGCGAGATTGACGTTGAGCTGAGGCAGCTGGCTTTGTTGGTGGCCAAACTGAGGCTGCTGCACGGGGTACTGTGATGGTGCCTCCTCAATAGGAGCCAGGTTGTCAAAGCCGTCCATGTCCATGTCCATGTCGTCCAAAGTGTCCATGTCCTGGACAGTGGAGAGGTTGGAGCGGCTGATCGAGTTCAGGCGCTGACGCTGGCCTCCCATCGAGCCTGAGCGTGGGTGGAAGCCCATTTGTGTGTTCATCGCAGGCTCGCCTTGTGTCTGTCCAGGGGCAATTGAAGGTGCAGGCGCGCCAGAAACTTGGGGGATGCCGTTGTTGGCAGGTTGCGAGTTGCGGGCTGCGGGAGCGTTGGCGTGGGTCTCCTCGAAGTGCTGGAGCAGGTCATGCAGCGAAGCCAGTGTGAGGCCACAGCAGGTGAAGTCCTTCATGAAGGCTGCCTCCATCTTGGGGAGATACGAGGAGGAGTGGAAGGACGGCGACTGGCCCATGTTCATGGGCGCGGGCGAGGTACCGGCCATCATGATGCTGTAGCACGGATCGTTAGCACGGTAACATTTGTGTGGATGTCGCAGCCTGGTTTGGGTGCACTTACTCATCGCGGATCCAAGACCCAACTGAGACACCGCCCCAGCTCATGCCTCCGTTGAAGCTGCCCATATTGGTGCTCTCACGGCGCCCGCGGTCCCGCATGGAGATGGGACGCGCACCGCTGCCGTAGAATGAGGTGCCCAGCATGTTACTGATGGAGCCGTGGCGCTCAGACATGCCGGGGCGGCCGTCACGGAACTGGAAGCCGTTGCCGTTGGGGTCGAGCTGGCTGGGCGTCTGGCTGAAGTCGCGGTTGGCCTCAGCCTCGCGCAGGGCCGACGTCAGGTTCGACGTCAGGTTCTGCGGCGAGTTGGAGCCATAACGCGGGGGCGTCTGGATATCGATGGGCGTGGCGGTTTGTGCCATGTTGCCCAGGAAGCTGCTGTGCTGCGCTGGGCTCGCGGGGAACAACGGGATGCTGCAGTCGCCCGAGTCTTCGAAGAGAAGATCGAATTCAGGCTCACGGCTGGGCACAAGCTCGTGCGGCTTGCGCTGCCAGGCGTAGGAGAGCGAGGGCGAGGTCTTGGCGGCACGGCCAAAGTGTGGCGAGACGGGGTGCTGGGTGGGAGTGGTGACGGGAGTGCTCGCTGCGGTGGATTCGCGCGGCGAGTGGGAGAGGGGAGGCGGCGAAGTCTCGTGGGAATCCAGCTTCACGGTGAGGTCGGGGGAAACAGTGGGAAGTCGGGCTGTGGACTTGGGTGGAATTTCAGGCGGGCGGGCGGGCTGCAACCGTCGTAGGCTACGGGCGCGGCTCCGATGACTGTGCAGAGGTGCAGATGGCTGCAGCGAGAGTGAAAGCAGCAGAGGCGCTGGTGTGCTGGAAACAATGTGGCGATGCTCAATCGAGATCTGTAGCAATACAAGTAGCGACTCGTGGGGCGGCGGCGGACTATATGGCCGCTCTAGCACTGCAATTGAGTTGCGGTGACGACGGTCGAGTTACTGGGCCGGCGGGCTGCTGCGCTGGGCGGTCCTCGAGAGATCCCTGGCGTGCTGTGGTGCTGGGGGCTGGCGCGGCGAATGGGGCAAGTGCGCTAGGGTCACTCTGGCGTCGGCGCTCGAAAGGTGCAACTCTGACGACGACGATCAACGACGGCTACGGCGATGTGGGAACGGTATGATGGTATCGATGCGAGCGCTGCAGCTGGAGACGTCTGCCTTGATTGCAACAGCGTCCTCTCAGGTGTTATGAGATTTTAGAACGAGGCATCCGGCCGAGGCAACGACCGAGTAATGACAAGCATAGAGAAGGTCCGCGGTGCTCTGTACTGCCAGCCTGCGACTAGACTACCTAGTACCTAGTACCTGCTGTCACGCCGCGGCTGCTGCTGCTACTGCGTTCTCCACAGCGGAACCATTGTCTAGCCCTAGCACCCTACCTAGTACCCTAGCACCCCCCAGCGCTGCGTGGGCGTCTGCTTGCGGCCAAAGCGCACGAGCAAGGTCTCCTCGACGCCTTCCAGAAGGCCGGGCGCAGCAGAGTGCTTTGTGTGCCTCCAGCGTGGCGCGACATGTCGATATGGCTGGTGATGGCGAACTGCGCAGTCTTGCATCTTCGCTTCCCGACCCCCGTGAAGCATGCTCGGTTCTGTACCTCAGATGCCGGAGAAGGACCGCTGTGGCACATCGCCCACTGCATTCGGCTCGTCGCATAGGTACATGCGAGTCCACCCACTGCTCTGCCAGTCCAAACCGAACAACGGTTGATGAACGCTCTGCCTTGGCTCCTCACTGGAGGCCTCCGGTACTTGACGTACCGCCACACGCGCACCAGCAGCACAGCGGTCGATGTGCGTACAGTAGTCTAATTGCACTCCCAGCCGTGCTTTAACACCTGCGCGATGCATCTTGCAGCTGCTGGCCACGTCCTCGGATTGCGCGCCCAGTTCGAGCACACCGAAGACCCTTCATCCTTACTCGCGCCCACTGTGACGACCGACTGCCTCGTCAACCGCGCTCAACCAGCGTCTTGTCTCGCGATGCCTCCGTTTCGAGCCACGCCCGTTGCCTCGAGCTTTCGGACAACTCGGCAGGATGCGTCGACAAGGATCCCTCTCATCACCTCGAGCTTCCCCTCGGCTGTTTAACCTTCTTCGGTCGTTCTTAGCCGACTTTTACATACGCACACAACTAACCACCAGCCGCTTCCAGCAGCCTCTTGTACAACTAGTACTGTGTAGACTTCGACGACGTATACGGACAGCCCAGACCTACGGCCTACTCTGGTTGGCTTCGTGGCAAGGTATATTTGCTCCGCTGTAAGGGATCGAGTCCGAGGATCTCACTGAACAGCACTGGAACGCCTACTTGAGGTGGGGACAAGCACACACCACCATTGTCGCAGCAACGACCAAGTGAAATGACCAAGTGAGATGGCCCTCGCTGTGCCCGCTGTCAGTTATTCTGAGGTATGGTATGCACTGCACTGGCATGCACATCGTACAATAAAGTTGCTGTGCGCTTACACAACATGCTCCTCCGCGGCGGCCTTCACCAGTACAACCGTACTACATTGGAGGCACTGCTGCAATATCACTCGCATGTACCAAGCGCGCGACTCCACGTCTGCATGCAGCTTCTGACTCATTCATGCACGTCAAGCGTTTTCAACCTCACCTCTTTTTTGAAACGACGCTCACCGGCCTCGTGACAACTCATAATACCACGTCGGAATATTGCGGTGCATGAAGTCCGTCCAATTGACGACTAATAACCCCTGCCTGCCACGACAAGTGTGTCTCATTTCCTTGCTCAAACAGCCGTTCATTATTGGACCCTGCAGCAGCTCTTTCCCACGCTCGGACAAACACGAATGTGTATTTTGCAGCACGACATGGGATTTACAGACGTCCCACTGCCTGTCTGTCGCACAGCCATACATTCGCATCAGCCAGATCATCTTTACAATGGAGTCGCCGTCTACTAGAACTAGAAGCCAAACGTCCGTTGCTCAGCCTCCGGGAGAATGCGGCAGGTACCTCGGAATGTAACCGATGGTACCTCGTCATGCTGACTTCCAGAGAATAGCGGAATCTAAAGCTCTCTCAGAACGCTGCCCGTTTCCGCCTTACCTCAGCAGACGCCAAGCTGTCGAAAAGCGCCAAATCCAGCCCATTTCCGAACGGCTCGTGTTCGGTGGCGTCGAATACGCAATGCAATCTTCTTTTTGGTGCATTGCTCCAGCATCCAGCAATCGTCATTAGGCAAGGTGTTACCCCGATGTCTCGAGACAAGCTTCGACTGGACCCGTCTCGCGGTTCTCCAAGTCACTACAGAGCGCTGTCAACAGGGGTGGCCAGAGCAGGTGAGGCGAGCATCTAACGAGCACTTTCACTGATCAATAGCTTCGAAGCCCGCGTTGGGACCGCACTGTCGCTTCCAGCTAGTGCTGTCGACCGTCCGGCGGCGTCACCATCCATGCACCGCTAGTATCATGGCGACGTCTTACACTGTCAGCTCCGCCGGTAAATGCCGGAGTCCTCTCGTTTGCACTGGGATACCTAGGTATTGAAGCTCGCCATTAGCTCTGCCGTTCGGCACCAGCTTTACGTGTCGACGGCACTCTAGCAACGCACTCAGGGTCTAGCACGAATGTACTTGCAGTGTTGACTACAGGTGCGACTTTCGATGTCTCGCGTCCGAAAAAGTAGCAAGCGGTGAGTGAAAGCTAACTTCCGGACCCAGATCGAATACTTCTACTGAAACGATGATGGTCAGTACCATCTCCACAGCAGTGCACTTCTTGCCCTCACCCTGGACCCATCAACCATCTACTGATGAACGAAAACGATCGCACGTTGGTTGACACAACATGTGCAGATTCGTCGCCTTTGCCTGACTCCTTCACCAAGTTGCAGCCGCACCTTCCCACCGGTGTGCTCTTGCAACACGTTCCTGCGTTGGCACTGTTGAGGCGTACACGCGTGTAAGCGAACAATTGGGTAGACCTACTCTAGCTACCGCAGTGGAGCACATTAGCTTCGAGCTTCAGCCGGCAGTACAGTCTTTCAACCAGCAAACCCACTGAGGCCACGAGGCTGCCCACCAAAGCTCCACCTTCAGGAGTCTCATTCTCGCCAACTCGATGCACGGAGATGAGATGCCTAGGCCCACAATGAGCAAGAGGCAGATTTTGGAGCTCATCTAAGACGGACCCTTCCCTCTTTCACGGTTTCGTTGTGGTTGCTGGTACTTTTGCGTCGAACGCATTGATTCGCGGGACCCTTCTGCTCCACCAAGGAGGCCGGCAATGACCATGTTTCTCTTCACATTCTAGCGGCCTTCTAGCAGTTCTGCAATCGGACCGATCAAACTCAACATCTTCACCCTTCGGACCGGTACTTGAACGTTGTGCGGGAGTAACCGAAAGCGACTTCCTGCGATGTTTTAGAGAATGTCGGGATGCCCTTTGGAGACATCTCAATCTTGTTGTCAAGTCAAGCCTTGATTCTGCGAAGGATCCAAATGCCGGGCTGAAGTGATCAACGTGCACGTATCGGGCCTTCTGGCATGGCTAAGAGGGTCGAATTGAGGATTAGCCCGCTGACATCGAATCAACGAGCATGCAACTCGATACATGCCGTCAGATGAACGGATACCGGATGTCCATGCGAGTAATGTGCCATGTCTCTGGTAGTATTAACAGGTATCATCTGTATACGGGGATCCACCATCTGACGAGCGCCCCGACAATGTACGTGATAGGTGCAATGCCAGCCGATTGTTCGCATAAGCCTTCCTGTACGGACATCATCATAGCACTGAAGCGTTATCGCGATATCGTTCCGGTCAGACGAACCCTTGACGGATGACGTTGTTATACGCTGTTACCTACTGACTTAAGCAAGCTGCAAGACGACATCATAACTCGGTAGATCACCAGCAGGGGCTGGTCGATGACGCAACAACAACAATGTACGAAGCGACGCATCTCAAACCAGGCTATATCCGGTATACCGAAATTGCAACGAGCATGATGCCAAGCTGCGTAAACAGTCTGATTCAGAGTGACTCGAAGGCCTCGCTACACTTCACTTCTCAATCTCGAAGCAGGACAGCGTCGGTGTCATTGACATGTCAGAATGTCAGACCTTCCAGCCCGGAGGTATCCATGGCACACATGGGCAGCAATGTTGTCATCCACACGAGCTAAATTGTATTGATCGTCTTCACCGCAACCGACTGCCTTATCCACGCACCTATATGCTGTCCCGGATACCATCAATGGCCGTTCAACGATTCAAGACGGTGACGTGAGAGGGGCATGGTGTTTGAGGCTTCGACGAAGCCCAGAAGCTCTTTGTTTAGATCCTGGTAATGTATTGCACATCGTCTTTTCTTTATTGCTTTCTTCAGCCTGTCGATCTCATCGCTTTTCACGTCTTAGGTTTTGAATAATCATCGTCAAATTCAGCCGCAACTCTCCTTCAATAACTCTTCTCTGTCTCTTTCACGATCGCATATGGCTCTCAAGATATGACATTCTGGTGACCGTCATCACCCTACGGGACCTCTTCGAATGCAACTTAAGCGGAGGGTAACCACGCGCATGAGAAGCTAGGCCCCGACTGCTGTAAGCTCACGACAACCTGCATATCAGTCAGACTTCGCATTCGAGCAAGGCCGTGCCGATGCTCGGCTTGCAGATGCGCTCTCGCTCTCGCTTTCGAGCCTAGCACATGTTCGGTTGAAGTACCGGTATATTAGCCGCCAACGTCACCCGAAATTTACCCACGAGTACGGAGCGAATTTCCAGCTGCTTCGACCAATTGAATGATATTTCTCTCGCAAGGACGAAAAGTCTGGATCTTCACATCCACCAGCTTTGGAGGTCTGACATGGCAGCGTGGCTGTAGCTGCTTGTGGAAGCTTTAGACGAGATTACCTAATCACGACTCTGCCTGGAGATCACAGAATAAACACCACATCTCAGCCACATTGTGACTGCCTGGATCGAGGAATGACGGCTGCGACAAATGCACAATACGTGTATATGTCCTGCTAAGACTTCGCCCCGAGCAAACTTACCCTGTAATCCTACTTTCCCAAAGCGGAGCGAAGCGCGAGGTGCAATGTAGGAGAATAGAAAAGAGGCTTTTCGTAAACAATCGTCACAAGCATATTGACAGTGTGGAGCTCACGTCTTGACTTCAACCTTGTGTCAGTGCAGCTTGCGACAACGTGAATAACGCCAACAACATCAGCAACATTGACACACCAGTGACCACAACCATTCCCAGCCACTAGCTAGATCAGTATTATCGCTTTTCGAATTGTACCATCACCTGCGTCAAAGAAGATGGCTTCTCGCCCACAAGGTGCAACGCAGGGCTATATCAACCCCAACTGGCCGCCTCCAGGCGAAGATGGCGACGCAGTAATCATCATTTATGGCTACACGCCCAAATTTGCACTCTACATATTCGCTCTAGTGCTGTTCTTCACTCTGGGTCTCGGTAACGGTTGGCAAGTGTCCAAGTACCGGACATGGTACTTCAGCACGATGCTAGTGGGAACCGTCTTCGTATATCCCCTTCTCTCGCCCACCTCCACAAGACACCAGAACACTAACCCTATTCCAGGAGATCATTGGCTACATTGCCCGCGGCCTAAGCGCGAAACGTAACCCCTACAAAGTCTCCTACTTTGTAATCCAATACTTCTTCATCGTCGTTGAGCCCGTCTTCTTCGCAGCAGCTATCTACACCGTCCTCAGCATCCTGATCCGCGCCACGCCCGACGGCACTCGCCACGCGCCGCTGCGCCCCAAGCTCATTCTGTGGACATTCATCACCTGCGACGTCATTGCGACGGTGATCCAGATCCTAGGCGCCGTGCTGATTGGCGTTGCGTACTCAAACCGACGGGATCCAACACGCCTAATCACACCTTGTTGGCGGGCTTGGTGTTCCAGGCAATGACTTTCCTCGTATTAATCGTCTTGCTTGGACTGTTCCTTTGGCGTGCGAGGGAAGTCGTGTTTCAAACAGCGAGCAAGGTATTCTATGCGTCGTTCTGGCTGGCTGTGCTGTCCATCTATTTGCGTATCTGCTTCCGGCTGGCAGAGACGGCGCAAGGGCTTGCGGGAGAGCTGCAGTCGCGCGAGGTGTATTTCGGGACGCTGTAGTTTATGCCAGTCGTTATTGCGCTTGCTTTGCTGGCTATGTGGCATCCGGGGAGGTGCATTCGGAGAGTTCACATGAATAGTAAGAGTAGCAGGAAGGATCAGCGCGATGGCGTAAGGGTATAGGAGAGGTTCAAGATGCTTGCTCAGAAAGAAGGATTGCAAGTAGAGCAATCAAGCATGAGGGTATACTGTTACAGTTGAAGGTCACTACCACATGGAAACAATCGTTAGCGAAGCCTTGCTTATTGCACCGTGATGAGAGGAGCGAAACAATGTCTGGGTTGACATATGCGGATACCCATCGGTGATGTTTCAATCTGCAATATAAATCATTTTACAGGCGGCACTTTCACATACGACCATAGGACATTGAAAACAAGGCTTCTCGTTCGCTCAGCCCTATTTAAGCAACCTACCGGCGGATTAGTAGTTAGGTGGGCACTAGCAAATACACGCTGTTGTATGTTTTTTTGCTTATGTGTTAACGTATCATATTCTCTCTGCGTTCTCCTTTCTGAAGGTAAGCCAATGTTGGTCATCCCTGTACTACCTACGGGGACGGTACCGGCAACAGTGGCACGGGCATTGCCTGGTCTGGTCAGGGCCATGAGATGTTGGCAAGAACCGTGATGTTCACCTGAGCCTCCACAACGGTTATTGATGGTAGGACATGGCGCCTGTCAGACAAGTGATACGGATCATACAAAACTAAGCCACCAAATTCCAATCACTCCGTCGGACAAAACGATGTACTTTCGCGTTTGCAATCAAGTGCATTCTTGAAAATGACCCTCCACGGACCGGGTACTAGACAGTACAAGTAAGTTTAGGTGCCTGTTGGATATGTTTCTTGTGTTGGAGAGGCGAGAGCTGGAAGGTGATTGAGGCACCCAGGCTGTGTTATCGAGTGCCAGCAGGGACTTCTGGTGTATGCGAGTGTCAAGCGGAAGATGGCAACGTTTTGATTTGTGATGCAGAGCCACAATCCGGTAGCGAAGTCTGTTAGCTCTCTGTGGATCTCTAAGACCAGAAATTTGCACAGGCAACGCGTCTCGCTGCCAGCAGACTCGCGACCACCTGGAGCGTGCATTATCCAGTTCTTCGCCAGAACAGGGGATGTTACGGTGCAGTGGCGAGTCGATGATCGGCATCGATGCTAGGCTTGCAAGACAGCTAGGTTCTGCTAACAGCTACACAGGAACACAACTCTACTTGAAACCTGAAGGATAATATAGCTTATTAGGACTGCTTACAGTCTGTACAGACTCAATGCGTGAGGGCCAGGGTAGTGCAGGCGAGCACTTTGCACTTGCGCTAAGGCGTGAAACAGCCATTCCTAGGCTGTGCTACTCAATGGATATACAAGACATTATTAGAGGGCTTACCTGCGAGATACGAGTGTGTAAAGAGAAGTGCTAAAGCAACAGACCTCTAGCATGACGCATCTATTGGCCAATCACCCCTTATGCAGTTCTTGCGACCCTGCCTAGAATTATTGCACAAGTAGGTGACACCGGGAAAGGTAGCACGCTGGAGCAGCTCCCAACGATAAGCCCGGCTGTAGAAAGAAGAGGCTTTACTATTGTTTACGCTATTTATGCTACACTGCTGCTGCTATACCCTTCTCATCCCTAGGTTTTCCTTCCTAGCTAATCCCGTAAGGTAATTCTCCTTTTGAGTCATCTAGCTGTTAGCAAATTTCCAGTTGCTATGACAGCACGCATATCCTGCTAACGGGCCACTTCCATAAACCCGCACGTCGACCGCAAGAGGTGAGAATCAGTACTTTTCCATTGCACGTCACAGTAGCCTTTGTGATCTCAATTGAGAGCATGTTCTGTCGCTGACGTATTGACACAGAGCTAGATCATCAGTGCTTCGACTAGCTGCAGCTGTGGTTGTGGCTGATACACGCTGATTTTAGACCTAGCTACAGCTACACGGCTCTCAGCTTGACGGCGCGCTCGACCTTGTCCAATATTTTTCCATTGACTAACAAGTCTGCACTGCTACTTGAATCCTTCTGGTACCTCCTCCAAATCTGGCCTCCCTGGAAAATTTGTTGCGAACCCCTTTCCCAACAGAGGCACCAGATTCCCATTTCTTCGTCTCTCCCACGACGTACCATCGCCGTCAAGAGCTACGACATCGAACTCTATCTGTGGACACTTCTCGCGCCACAGCACCTTTGCCGCCTCAGGCTCTCCCCATCTCAAATGGCCATGTGGGCACTGAAACACCCACTCAGTGCGCGGTCGCTCTATATCCGTACGATCTAACCCAGGTTCGTGCTCGAACCAATACAGTTTGGGATACTTTGAGGCAAACCTTGCCTCGTTGGACGCGCGGAAGTAGAACGTCCAGCCCTCGTACTGGTGGAAGGTGTGCTGGAGGCCACCCTTGTGGCCAGAGCCCTGATGAAAAAGGGTGACATCAGGCTCGAGATCTCCCTGATGCGAAGCATTGAACTCCAAGTCCAGGTATTCGAGTTTCGGCATGCACGTTACCGCACGAGCCATGCTAATGGCAAGTTCGTCGAAGAACGCGGGTTCGGGCCGCGTGAGGAATCGCCGCGCCGGCCATGCGCCAACCGCTCGATACCTTTCTGAATCGTCGTCCTCATCATTGCCATCGTCTGGGTACAAAGTTTCGAGATCGGTCCAGTCGTAGAGCTCGTGCTCAGGGTAATTTGCGGCAGGACAGAGCCAATAATCCCCGGATGGCCTTTCAAGGCCGGTGCTAATATCAAGGATTCGAAGGTTGGGCCACCTTGCGACAAGAGAAGTGGCAGGTGACGCATCAGAGTCCCAGAACATTGCCGCAGATATGAAACTAACACGTATAGTGAGTGTAGTCAGATGAGCGGAGACGTGGCGTATGGATCTCGACAGACAATCCAAGTTGCCTCTCAAGAAATTGGGTGGTTGCACTTCATGGTTTTTGATGTCCCCATATTCGAGACAAATATATAGAGTTTTCAGAGACGTGGGAAGCCTCGATATCTGGTCTGCGAGTGCTTGAACTGAGTTAGCACAATGTGCCCTCTGGTATCAGCTAGCTACACTTACCGTGACGAAGACTCCTTCTAGCCACCGGCCACCCTATCTCGTAATCTACGCCTACGGTCTCCAGGCGCTCGAGCCTAGGTAGTGAACTCGCAACGCTGCACGTCACTATCGTTGGCCAGAGGTCGATTTCCTCGTTAGTTTCCTCCCGGACCCACAGCGACTTCACAGACGGCAGCAAAGGTAGCTTAGGAAGGCTAGATAAATCCATCAACGTGCCGTCCTCAGGGAACTCTCCGTTGCACACGTCCGGGCCAACAAACTTGTACACCGAGAACCCTGTCACATGGAAATCGACCCTGTCAACGCGCAGGTCGTCTTCCCAGCTAGCCAGCTCGTCCCAGATTGCTTTGACCTCGCGAAAAAAGCGCGCATGCTCATTCTGAGCGGCAGCGAGACGGATACGAGAAGAATCGCTTTTACCATCCTCCGCTAGAACCGTGCCATCGCCAGTAAAGGTGGTCGTGTTCCACTTGCACTCCCCACGGGGACAGACGTCGCACCACGGAGCACAGTACGATGCCTCCTCGCTCTCCTCGTCGGCGTCACTCTCGTCGGCGTGGCGTTGCCCCTCCGTCTTTGGCTCTTCCCGTGCGAAATACCCCTCAAACCGGATATCCAGATTTCGCAGCGCCCGTCTGCGTCTGGCGTGTCCACGGAATGCTGAACGAAAGCATCCGATCTCGCGCGGCCTTAGTCGTAGATGGCGCCATATGTAGTCTTCCACAACGATCTGCCAGTTGCGGTTTATCGACGACAAACGTCGTAGACCGGAATAACCCCCGGCTTCTCTGTACTCGTGGATGATCTGGTGGATTATCTCATTGGGTAGGTTGACCATGACAGTCTCTGGGTGTTGGAACGGTGATTGTAAAATGATGTTCAAACGCTTCTCCGTCCGTCACTCGACCATTCAGCACTGGTGGAAATGTGGGATCGGGGACACAACGAGTAGATCCAAGTTCGGGCTACGCGGGGATTATATGTTGTCGCGTAGCGCGAGGCGTGCAAGACAGGCTAGCCGCTGTGGGCTAGGTAGCCCGTCGGGGATCAGCGCACTGTGTTACTTGCTGCGCCTCACCTCATCCGCAGAGAAGCTGTTACGAATCTGCACCGCACATCATTATTGTAGGTGTAGCTAATGGATACTTCGATCTCGTCGCCACCGAAACGTAGTTTGTTGGATACTTACTTGCGCTTCGCGGTGCGTCGGGATCGGACCACACAAATGTGTTTGTCTGCAGTAAGACGAAGCTGTATGTATCAAGACATGCCCAGACTCCGCAGGAACTCGAGAATTTACGGAGATTCGTAGTGGTACGGACATCACTTTCCTACATGCTGACCTGCCAATACAGAAACAAAGGCTAGAACCCCGAGGTCGTCAGTTTCCCTCCAGCGTTCATTTGACAACTAGCATGGGATTGCCTCAGCAGACCTACCTTGCACCAGCATGCTTACCGAAGTCCGACTTCTGATGGTGATTTTGAGGCTGAGCCTTGAGCCTCGAAACAATTTCCAGCTCCACATATGTGTATATATGCTGCAATGTAGCATCGCATTCTGCTCAATCACTACTCTTCTCACACTCATTCGCAGCACGCTTCTAAGTGTGTCAAGTCTCAATCTTTCAGTCCTACTCATATTCTATTTTCCTGCTGGTCAGGTTGTCCCACATTCGTTTCTTGCTGTACCTCACAAATCACCATACTTTCTTTACTCAAATGATCATGCGCACCTCACAAGTCCTTTTATGGTTCGGGCTGGCTTTCCTCCACCAAAGCGTAGAGGGGCTACCGGCTACTTTTTCCATCAATCTTTCACGGGATGTTCACAAGCCAGGAACCGAAGCTGCCGGCTATCATCAACATCCCAGGGCAGAAGTCAAGCTTGGTCGCGACCTTGGACGTCGTGCACCTCCAAAGAAAGGAGGCGGTACACCTCCAAAAGCCCCTGTCGTCGTTCCTGTACCTCAAACCCCCGCGGGCAAGGGAAATGCTAGACCAAACACTCCCGGTGCTCCAGACAAAGACAAAGATGGAAAGGGCAAGGGTGGCCCTCCCAGCCCACCTCCTGGCAAAGACACCGATCCTGTGACACCAGCTCCTTCCAAGAAGGGCAAAGACAGGGTTTATAAATTGGGAAAATGTGGTTCAGAGGATCCGGGAGTTGAAATCAAGAATGTGGATAGTAAGGGTACTTCTCCCTCAAGGAAACCCAAAACGCCGAAGCCTCCGAAAACACCCAAAGCACCAAAGCTTAAGAACAGACCTGACAATGACGGCGGCGACGACGACGTCAAACCGCGTGTCTCGGGTAAAAAGCATATGCAAGTGTGTGGAACCAAAGTGGATATGGACTTTCCGGACTATCCCAGTAGTGGCGACGCAATCGAACAAGATGGAGATTATTGGGGAAAAAGCCTTGTTGCCTATAATGCAGTTAAACCCGACCCTTGTCTTAATGACTATACATTTGGGAAGATGAAATACCCTAAGAAAAAATCTGAAAATATTCATACGCCAGAAAAGCCGGTCGGGAAAGGTGGCAAGCAGCACACCAAAGACATTTGGCAGACCGAACATGTTATGGATGCACAGATCATGAAGAAATTTTTTCAGGACATGTTCCAGGAGAGGGATGCCGTGATCAAGAGGGACGACATCCCCGTGTCATGGATCTCCAGCCTCAAGGGAAAGGCTGCAGCGCAAGACCAATGCAGTTATCTTGAACAATTTTGGACCAAGAGATGGCCCAGCAGAAAGAAAAACGCAAGTAAGTGTAGTCCAATGGCGAAGATCATGTACAGTCTCTTCAGAATAGCGCAAGATTCTAGGAGATCCGATACAACCAGAGACAGTTTGGTTTTCGGCCGTCCAGCTGCTTTGTGAAATAATATATGCTAACGAGACTGTTATAGTGGCCAACCTGCTCGCAGTGTTCCCAGGTAAAGAGCGTCATGAAGGAGAAATGCTACTTCTCCCTGGACGTTTGAATAACAAGAAAGCCTCGCTTTTCAGCGTCAAAGAGTATAACGTCGTCTCACCAGTCGACTTCCCTAATTATTCACTACACCGAAAAATAGATGAACTACGAGAAATCATTTTGCTCATCGAGGTATGCTGACTGTCTCTATTGCCACAAGCTCAGGCTGATATACCTAGTACCTGAACACCCCAGACGTCGCAAAGTATTTCAAAGCCCTCTCGGTGCGCATTCGAGACAAACTCGCCAAGATTGATGCAGATGGCAGCGATGCGTTCATGAGGGACACAGACGACTGGTGGTTCAAGCAGAAGAACGACCCAACCCTGAAAGATGCTCTTGGCGAGAAATACAAATCCGTCAAGTTAGCCACTAGATGGTCAACTTGGATCAACAACTTCGTCACAGAGCGCACTAGGGCCATGCAATATCTCTTGATCGAGCTTTTTCATGTTCTTGACACAGACTGGGAAGACGCAAAAACATATGTGGAGCTGCAGAGCGGAAAAGGGAAGACCTTCAAGGACGACTTCGAGATTCGCATGAAGGCGCTGAGGACGAATGTCAAGAAGGCTGTCAAGGTGCAAGCTTACGTCATTGGATCGATTTCGTCACCAAACACGCCCGACGTCAGCGATTCTGAGCCCATTCCAGAAGACGATGGGAACTCGGATTCTGATGCGCCGCCTGAAACTCCCACGAGACCCAGGCCGGCTCCGGGTCAGGGTCAGCCAATTAATCTTCCTCACCGTCCGGCGCCGCCATCAGTAGCAGGACCGTCGACACCTGTGCCCAAGAGCAGGAGGCTTTGAGCACGGAACTGGATCGCCCTCTTTGCGCCATTGGCCCCCAACGAGCTGCTGATCAACTGGAGTCAACAAACATAAGGCATTAAGCTTTAGTACTACCCAAGGTCTACCCAGGGGATCGACAACGACTCTTCCGTTAGACTTCACCACCACGCTCGGTGATGATCTCAAGGGGGGCTTTGGTTTCCAAAGGAGCGCGGGGAGCGAAGTTGGGTATGGCACGGTGGCTTCAATTCACTGTCCTACCAACCACTAACTTCGCTTAGACCTGTGGTACACATTCACGTTGCATTAATAAAATTATGTATTATAGCCATAGTACAACGCTTTTTTCTACTTTTTGCTGCAGGAGCTGTTGAAGTCTTCTTGCTGCGGCAGAAGTAGTCGCTGTATAGCCGATTGGAACTGCACTGCGTTGCTCAATAGCTAGAAGGCGACCATATATACATGTCCTGAGACGTGCTAGTCCAAGGTAGTCAACAGAGGTGACGATCAAGGCTATAGGACCGACTTGCACCGGAACACTTCTGCTTGCCTACCGTGCACGGACAGCGGGTGGGCCGGGTCACCAGGTGGGCCACCCCACCAACTTTACCACCTCACCAACAGTGAGGCTACAACACCACGTAGAGTAGATATTATTATATAAGAAGTTGATGAAATATACTATCTGCTACTGCGAGACTTTTGGCGTATTCAGTTTTTTTGTGGGCTTTGTGACGCGGCCACCACGAGTCCTAAAGCCCGGGGGTGCTGAGCTGGGCTCATGAGACTCCTGTGAACTGCCCTTTGCTGCACCACCACCACGCTTTGTTGATTTTGACCGTGGCTTTGCTGAGGCCTTGGGATTAGTCTGTTTAGGCAATTGGGATACTTTTTCTGCGTTCTTGAGTGTTTTGACGCGCTCTCTTTCAGCTGCGCGTTCGGCGATCCCCTGAGCCTTCTCCGCCCTCTTTTGAGCTGCCTTCTCACGCCTCAACGCTGCCTTTTCTTGCCTCTTAACCTTATCCTTCTCTTTCAGGATCTTGTTGTTGTGCTGTACTTGCTTCCGATCAGCCTTTGCAGCGTCATCTGCGATTGCCTGCTTCTCTATATCCTTCATACGGGTCTTGGCACGTGCAACGGATGAAGGATCCCAGAATATGGCCCCCCCTTGTACATTAGGGTCCCGCGGTGACAGTGGCAATACTTTCTTCTTCTTTTGACGCTTCTTCTTACTCTCTAGTGCTGTTTTGAGGCCCTGAAGTTCCTGATCTTTGAGCTCAAGAGCCACGTGCATCTGGTGCATCTGCTGCCTTGCCTCACTCTGCGCCCCTGGGTCCCCATACGTCACTGCACGGTCAAAAGATGACCTAAAACGTCGCCAATTAGGTGAGGTAGATGCCGCCCAAGGCTCTGATTGCTGGGGAGGCGTTGCGGGTGGTGGTGGAGTCACCTTCTTGAAGCAATCAAGTATGACGTCTGGGTGAAGTGGGTATATACCCGTGACTTCAAAGGCTCGGAGTATCAACGATTCGGTAAAGGTGTTGACCCAGGCAGGCCAGAAGAGGCTTATGA